CATTAAGAGTGATTTTTATTTGATACGAAATATAGACATGTGTACTTATTTTTTTATTGTATCTATTTAAAGCACTTTAAGGCTTTGTTTGCAAGTGATTGTGTTTAAATAAAAGCAATTTTTGGAAAAAAGTGATTAGTAGTAAAAGTTGGTAGTGTTTGATAAAATAAGTGTTTTTTGTGTAATGCAAAAAGTAAAAAGTAGATTCTACACAAAAGTTGAGAAACGTAAAAGTTGGTAGTGTTTGGTAAAATAAGTGTCTTTTTTTCTTAAAAAAAAGTCACAATCACTTATTTTAAGTGATTGCAAATAGAGCCTAAATGTAATTATCTCTTTTTATGATATAATAATTATTTCTTGTTTGTATCTTATTTTAAGCACTTTAATCCTATTTTTAATGATTTTAAAAAAACTCTTAACTATCATTACTACTACTACTATTTGTATCTTACCCTCCCGATCCTGCTGTACATCTCCAACAATACCCTGATAATCCCTCCAATCCCAGGATGCTGGCAAAGCCTAATGAAAAAAGAGCAAATATCATATTTAATGAGCGTTTAGAAGTTCAATTCGATAAAATAAAACAGAAACAATGCGTCTTCCGATAATAGCTTACCTCGTCGTCCTGAATCTGGGGCACTTTAGTTTTTTTGGTCTTCTCTTGCTCCTAGAAAATTGAAGGAGTTATTCATAGAACCACAAGGAAGATTGGAAGAACAAGCTATAATGTATACTTTGATATATGTGGTGGTGGGGAGAAAGCATCGCACGAGATTATAATACAGTTTATTAAACTGTTTTCTCCTAAATGGAATTTGGGTTAGTGAATCACACTCTACTACATACGTCATCTGCCTTTGCATTTGAAAAAATCAAATAATGCAATTTGATGCAATTTGAATTTCACATTACATCTGCTTAATGCAATTTGATCTCACCCATTTGGAGATGGATGAGATTGGTAAGTTCTTTGAAAAATTAGCAACTATGTAAATAATTGTTCATTTTTATATCAATTTGATTCTAAAATATGTAAAATTAATACAAGAACAATTAGCTGTTAATCGTTACAAAGTTCTGATTTTTTATACTCCGTATTAGGGTCTACATCTAGCATGATTTAATGACAATACACATATATATATGCATACATATACATTATGTGTGTTTGTTTTTTTGAAAGGAAAAAAAACACACACATTATGTGTGTTTATAATAACAGATTTTTAAGTTTCCCTCATACTTTTTTGCAGAAATTGGGAATCCAATTTAGCAATCAATAATAATTGAATTGTTAAGAACTAAATTACCCATAAGTAGGACTCGAATTGAGTGATAATAGTTTGATTCAAGTTGGTTATTGGATTTTGTGTTTTAAAATTCCGCCCTACGTCTAGCTCTCATAAATTCATTTTAAAAACAATTGAACATGATTTTTTAGTGTTGGTCCTAACACTCCAAACACGTACGCAGTATTTGACAAGACGAAAGGGTTAAAGAAAAGTGCTACTGCTATATCTTAGCCTTATTTGGCGTGTGTCTACTAAGAGCTTTCATTGTTTACGTGGGCGGATCTATGTTGGGGAAGGGGTGGGCTCCAGCCCAGCCCAGCCCAATTTATTTTTATTATTATAAGTTTTGTTCTAAAAATCGTTCTAGGCGCCCGACTAGTCCCCGCCTAGGCACTAGACGGTGGTCGGGCGCCCCGATTTTCGTCTAGGCGCTCCGACTAATTGGTTTGCCGTCTAGGTGAATTAGTCACCTGCCTATGGCGCCTAGTTGCCCGCCTAGAGCGCCTAATCGGCCGCCTAGGGCGTCTAATTTGTCAAAATTACTTCACTTTTTAATTTTAATTTTCTAGGCGATATACATGCTTTAACTTTAGCCATGGATATAAAGAATGTAGTTGTAAATAAAGATAGAACCATATATGTTTGTATATATACCTAAATTTTATCATTATTTATATTTATAACATAATGAAGTTAAATGATTAGTTATCATATACTACGTATGATTAAATGTGAAAATTATATCATTCATGTTTGTTGATGTATATGTATATATGTATTTTACACACACAAAAACACAATATTACTTATCATATTTATGCAAAAATATAGATAAAAATGCAATTTCTATGTCTCTGACTAGTCCCCGCCTAGGCGCCCGCCTAGCCGCCTAGGCGCTAGGCGCTTGGTTGACGCCCGACTGATCATAGGTATAGGTTTACTTTTAGAACATTGATTATAGGTATAGGTTTAATTTCCAGCCCACCTCAAAATTAATGTCTAGCCCAGTCCAAGCCTACCAACTTTGTAATTCTATTTGATTATTAATTGAATATTATCAGTAGATAGTAAAATAGTTTTTATTTATTATAAATTTATAATGATTAAAGATAGAATTAAAGATTAGAAAATGATTTATTTATTATGCAATTAAAGAATAGAGAACAATGTACTTACTGTTTAGGCATGTAAGAATGGATTCAAAATTTCAATTCAATTTTAAAATTGGGAATACTTATTAGTTTTATGTACATCGACGATTTTTACTTATTAGTTTTATACTTTATAGAAGTATTTTAATTCATATCAATAAATACTAAAATCTTTAATAATCAATAATAAAATTATAAATCACACTAAAAACGTTAAAATTTTAGATATACTACCTCCATCTCATTTTATTTGGCCATCTTTGACTCTTTAGTCAAAGATGGTAACTTTGATCCATCATTTTAACTCATGTATTAATGTGAAACTTACTAAATTTATACTTTTATGATAAACTTTTTAACAAAGAACATTTCCATTTCATTTTAATATTATCAATTTTATTGTATTAAATATATAGTCATTCAGAGTTTAACTTCTTTGACTTGAAAAGCCAAATTAGTCTTAATAAAAGTGGGCGGAGGTAGTATATAGTTTATTTCTATAATTTATAAGCTATCAATATGCTCGAGTCAAGATCGAACTGAACATGACTATGCTCGAATTCAGCTTGAATAAAACTATTCAAACTCAAAAAAATAGCGGCCGTTTTTTTTTGTAAAAACAAACTATTTAAACTAAAATTTAGCCCGTGTTCGAGATTGAAGCTCGTTAAGATTTGGTCATTAAATTAAATTCGAAATCACGATCGAACTCGAGTACGAAAAAAACTCAGTTCAATAACTATCAGTCCTAAGCTAAACCTTTTGTATGCAGTAACGAAAATTTTTATTGCTTAGCCCACCCCACCCCTCATTCCTGGGTCTGTTCCTGATTGTTTAGTTATATAATACGGAGTAATAGAGTACCTTGTATCTTTCATCACGTTGAAGTACTGGTGGATCACTGGAGCTCTCTTCCCTCTTCCAAAATGAGTAAATAATTAAAAACAATCAAATACCAAGTACTTAACACTCACTGACTCACATTATCACATACACAACATCTAATTTACCTGAGTCTTCTTTAATTTCTACAGTAGTCATCTTTTCTAGCTCCTCCTATTCCTGCTTCTCCATCCATTGCCTATAGAGATGCCAAGATATCTTTAAGTTATACGGAGTATATGATTGCAATGTTTACAAATGGGATTTTGAAGGGGTGGGGTAAGAGGATTTTATGAACCGAGACCGGCGGCAGCGCCGGAGGCGGCAGACCGCAAACTGCAAACCGCAAATCGACCGGAGGCCGGCGGCTTTGGCCGCACCGGATGCCAGAGCATAGAAATGCAAACTATCAGCTACCAACTTTTGTACCCCTATAAACTGAAAACAACAAAAGTCTAGCCGTCTAGGGGGTCAGATCTGTCCAATCCATTGCCTATAGAGATGCCGGAACTACCCGTAAGATCTCGGGTTGCGAAAATTAGGCACCGGAACAAGACGCATGTTATTCAATCAGAGTCGGGTTTTTGATAGCTAAGTTCAGTGCAGGTTCAATTAGGGCCGGTTAAAGCCCGACAAGAAATTATCAACTTGTCCTTTTATATTTTAAATCTTCTTTGAATAAAATCGCTCAAAAAATCAAATTATAAATAATAAGACAAATATTTATCTCCAAAATCACCAACAACTAAAATCGAAACAAAATAATGTATCTTAATTTTGCGTTTAAGATACATATAAATAAATAATTGAGGCTTTTTGAAAAATATTATCATATAAATTGTTGGATAAAATGTGAATAAAGTTACTAAAAGTAAATTTTCATTGTCACTACGGTTACAAAGCAAGAGCTGATTCTTTGTTTTAGGCCGTGTTTAGAACTGATTCTTCTTCTACTTCTTTTTAAAGCAAAAGCAGAATCGGAATCGGTTTTCAGAAGCCGATCTCCCCTAGTTTTTAACAAATCTGCTTCTAAAAGTAAATTAGAGCACCAAAAATATTTCTGCACTTTCACCCAAATAATTTTAAGAATCAGATGCAAACACCCTTGCTTATTGGACCCAAACTAACTTTTCTTATTGGACCCTTGCTTAGGGTTTAATGCACCAAACCCCTTCATGAAATATAAATTTGACGCATTAGCCCATGTGATTTAAAAAATGCGTCAAACTCCTGCATTATAATTAATTATGCATCAAACCCCCTCCTCCAAGAACAAATTTAATTTCCAAAAAAATGAAAATGTTTAATTTTCTTGTATGATTTAGAAATTTTGACAAAGATACTTGCAAAATTTCAACTGTATAATTAAAAAAATGATTTCAAAATTGTAAAATTTGTTCTTGCAAAGAGTTTGATGTATGATTAATTATAACACAGGGAGTTTGATGCATTTTTTAAATCACATAAAACCCCATTTTAATTTGAAGAGCGGTTGGTAATATGGACTTACGACGGAGGATATGTATATATATACGTACTCCGTATAAGATAAGATGCTATACGCGTACGTACCGGTCATTCCCACGTCTCTCACCAACTCCCTCTTTCTCTTCATCGATTTGTCTGCTCTGAAGCTGAAATTCGATAATGGTGTCTTCCGAGATCGGAGATTGCTGTTCGCCCGCAGAGGAGAGGCCGAAGATGCTAAAGCGGGAAAAATCACATAAAAAAAGATTGAAGGCACACAGGTAGGGTTCTCTTTTGAAATAGAAGGAATACATGCTGGTTTTAACGATACATGTCCTTTTCTCATTTATCGGTCTCTGATTAATTAGTTGGCCTCTGATTAATCGAATATGAATTGCTTTAATTGCATTTTCCTTTTAATGGAGGGAATGGTGTATTTTTCTTCTACAAGTCATTTGTCGGAACCCTATTTGTGCTTATTACGGAATAATATCTTTTCCTCAGTTACTTTTGTTAGTATGTAATTTGAATGATCTTTGTTGCTGTCTCTGATTACGTTTTTACTTGGTAAAAATCTCAACCTGGCTTCAGTGGTCATCATGGGCGAGATATTGAAAGATGGGCGAGATTTATGAAACCTGCTGTTAATCTAAAATTCACTGATACTGTGCGGTGTGATGAAAAGCGCAGCCTGAGAGCAGCACGGATTGCCTTATCTTATTTCAATAAGCAGGTTAGGTAGTCATAACTAAATTGATATTTTTTCCACCTATCCACAATCCACTTGTGTTGCTATTTTTTCTGCATGTCCTGAGCTATGGTGTATGAATATGAGGAATTGGTGTCAATGTATCAACAGGTTCCTCATGTGAAGTATGAGCTTGTTCGAGCTCTTGGCTGTATTGATACGATGTCTCCAAGCACTTTCCTTCCTGCATGCATGCATTGCAACTTCATTGCTAGGCCGAAAAATAAAAGTAAGGGAGCCCCGGTGACAGAGGAGAATAATAAGCTCTTTTTCGGGGAAGTTGAATGTTCAGGTAGGAGCTCACGCTGCAGTTTTTGCTGCATCTTGGGGCAAACGGGTACTGGTATGTGGATGATGACTGTTCTGTCTTACTTCTATTTAGCACATTACTCACCTCTCTCTGTTAAATACTGTGGTTATATCCACCTCCTCCCTTCTAGAAGGACATTTGACATTATTTGTTTGGTTTATGCTGATTTTTATTTTGCAATTTCTTTTTCAAGTGTTCATTCTGGCTAAAAAAATGTTTGATCCAGAACTTTTTACTATTTTTTGTTACATAAATGGTTAGTCCAAGCCCCAAGGTAGTCAAATTTGCAAGGCACACTTAAGGCGCTAGAGTACTTCTATCGCCTGAGGCGCAAGGCACAAAAAAGCACTTGCATGACTCATGTCAAAGCACTAACAAACGGCTCACGCTCTCACTGTTTCAAACCACTACCTTCTATCACAATTCACGGATGGTGAACTCCTACTAAATAACTGTATCCTAGTGTCTTGCTGTATCCTAGTGTCTAAGGTAGCAAAAGTTCAACAATGGGATACCGTTATTTTGTAGGAGTTCACCATCAGTGAATTGTGTTAGAATTATAGTATCAGATTTCTGTAATTAGAGAACCTTTTGAGGGAGATTCAGATTATGGAGATAATTAAATCAGGAATTCAAAGTAAAATCATGAAATTAACTATATTATGCTTCTTGGTCTAATGGAGATGCAATGGCAATGGAAATGTTAAGATGAGCAACGACAATGGAAGTATTAAAAGGCATCAATGGTGTCGGAAGAAATAGGGAAAGAGAAGAGATAACGTTTTCTTGTCAGCAGTTTGTCAGCCAAAAAATTAGAGAGCAGGGGGCAAAATAGGAAGGAGAGATGTGTCTGATTTTCTTAATATCTGTGCCCATTTCCATGTTTCAACCTTTACTGCACGGAGGAAGTGTAATACTTCTCCTGCTAGTAATTTTCTGTTTTGGTGTTTCTTATCTTTTTCATGCTCATTCATTTACATATGTAAAAATAGCTAGATGATATAACTTGAATAGCTACATTTCGTTCAGTCATTGTGGATTTTAAGGTCTTTTGTCTCTCGTAGTTTGATTTGTGGTGGTTCATTGATATTATTTTTGGTCTTGATGCTCTTTCGGGTTCCTTCTTGCAGTTCTTAATTTTTAACTATGAACACTATCTGGCTATCTGCAATTAACGATCTCAATATTCATTTTGATCATTCCATTTGCGTGGTTTTTTACAAGTAATTATTAATACTCCGTAATATATTTAGATACTTCATAAGCTGCTTATTTGTTTGATGTTGTTTTAACAAGTTCTTTCTGTCACCCTAACCCCCCAAAATCTTATTATCTTGCAGTGACTGGTAATTGTGGCTGTCGTTTGTTTTGTCGTGACTATCCTGAACTCATCCAACATCCTAAAGGCGGTGGATTCAGAATGACTTACAAAAGAGATTAGGGTATCTCTGATGTTGTATCTTAATCCCAAAAAAGATTAGGGTTGGTTACTTGGTTAACATGAATAGACGATTTTGTTTGTTTGCATTGTATATAATAATTAATACTGTCCTAATGCATTCATCGTATTAGGGCTGGACTCGGGCTGGTTCGGGCCTGGGCCCGGCCGGACCTCGGGCCAGAAAACTGGGGCCCGAGCCCGAACCGCCGGTGGCTGGTTCCGGTTCCGGTTCCGGGCCAAACCGGGCCGCGCCGGGTCGGGCCGGGCCAAACCGGTCCAGTTTTTTTTTTTTTGGTTCTCCTATTTAACCCCCTACCCCTCCCCCTCCACCCCAAACCACCTCAAATGCCTCAAAATACTTAATCCAACCCAAAACTTAAAAAATTTTCAAAAAAAAAAAAAAAATTAAAATCCGGCCCGGACCGGGCCGATTCGCCTAAAGCAGGGCCCGAGCCTGGACCGCCCATCACCCGGGCCGGGCCAAACCGAACCGCTGGACCCACCAAGCCCCGGGCCGGGCTGGGCCAAACAGTAACCGGACTGGTTCCGGGTCGGGCCGCCCGGCCCGAGTCCACCCCTACAACGTATACGCAATTTCCTATGCATGTCTTTATTTTTTGCTCCAAATTTGAACTCTACAATAACCATCTCTTTCATATACGGAGTATGAAATTTCCTATAGTCATTACGGTGAATGTTTTTTCTAGATTTATGCAAGCTGCTGATCAATAGTCATTTTTTATTATAAAATACCGAGGCCTAACATTTACCAGACCAGACTTAAACAGATCAAACCAAACTTAAAAATACCAGCAAATTTTAGTTCAAGTTAAAATATCCTTAGAAGTTGGTTTGCAACTGCTTAAAAAAAAGCACTTTTCAGCTTTTGACTTAAAAAACACTTATTTTATCAAACACTACCGATTTTTATTTTTTTCGGCTTCCATGTCATAAGTGGTTTTACCTTTTTCATTATACAAAAAACACTTATTTTATCAAACACTACTATTAAAAATCGGAAAATCGTCTTTAATCGCGATTTGGAACGATTTTAACGATTCAAAACTCAAAAGTGATTTTTTTACGATTTTTTGTAATTCCGATTTTTTAAACGATTTGTTTCGATACAGTGATTTTTGATCGTAAAATCGTATGATTTTACGATCTAAATCGCGATTTTAATAATCATGGGTGTGAAGGCTTGTTTGTTACACTGTAAACACTTTGCGTGTAAAGTGTTGGAAAGTAAACACTATATACCATTTGGTTGAAATATACAATGTAAACTGTATGATACTTTTTTTTAAAATATATTACACGGTACTATGTAAAATATTTTACTTGGGGGAGGATGGTAAACTAGATTACATCCGTTTATATCTATGTTGTAAAAACCGGACCGGAGGGTGACCCGGACAGATGATTGGGTTACGGGTCAACCCGGACCCGGCGGGTCAACCTGGTCAACGACCAGTAAACCCGGTCAACAACAATACAAATAATTAATTTTAATTATATAAAGGATTAAATTCTTAAATAGATAAATTATATTCCTTCATAATTCAATAATAATAATAATTATAGTAATAATAATAATAATAATAATAATAATAATAATAATAATAATAATAATAATAATAATACAATATAAGCAATCTAAAAAACCATTGTATTTTAGTAGATTGATTTAAAAAAAACATTGAAATTTAGATTAATAATAAATATGAACATTATACCAATTGCAAAATATAAAAAAGTCGTAACAATAAATATAACTAGGAAGTATAATAACAACATTTATGTGTATTTATTAGTATTTTTATTATAAATTAATTAATTAATAAGCCAATTATTCAAACTTTATAAAAACATTCTGGACAAATAAGCTATAAAGAGAACTAAACAACCTACGTACACAGCAACCGAGTATGGCTAGCTCGTTGGTTTCCAGTCCATCATTTAAATCTTGTGGCGCGAGATCGAATCTTATGCGTCAGGTTTTGTCATTTTCTGGGTTTGGAAAGGATCGGGTCCGTCCTGAGTTTAAACGGGTCACTGGTTAAATCCGGTTTTGACCATATTTCCGGTCGGATGCTCAACTGGACCGGACACATGGCCAGGTGACCGGGTTCCGGGTCAAACCGGCCGGTCTGGTTCGGGTCTTACAACACAGGTTTATATGAGGCTGAATAAATACAAGAGTATGGAATAACGATTTCTAACCTAGACTTAGGAGGTGTTTACTTCACTGCTAAAGTCACAGTTAGGTTAGTAAGACAGGTGAAGTAAACACGCACACGGCTTAAAAAGCCGCTTACTAACCGAAAGAGGTGCTTAAAGTGCCGCTTATTAAGCATACCACCCCCCATGTATTAATTAAGCGGCACTTTAAGCTTTTTCAGTTTCCGAATTTACCCCTTGCCCTTAACCTATTGTTATCCCTGCCCCACCTCGACCCCAACCCCACCCTACCCCGACCCCACCCTACCCTTACCCCACCTACCCTGACCCTACCCCCGACCCCACCCCACCTACCCTACCCTACCCCACCCCGACCCCACCCCTACCCCCACCTACCCTACCCCACCCCGACCCCACCCCTACCCTACCTAACCGACCCCCACCATACCCTCACCTACCCCGACCCTACCCCTACCCCTACCTTACCTGTCCGACCCCACCCTACACGTACCCCCCACCTTACCCCTATCCTACCCCATTACCAGACACCCCCTACCCTACCTAACTGACCCCCACCCTACCCTTACCCCGACCCCACCTACCCTACCCCTACCCGACCCCACCTTACCCCTACCCCTACTCCTACCCTGACCCAACCCAACCCTACCCCGTCCTACCCCTACCCGACCCCACCCTACCACTACCCTACCTACCAATCCCACCCCTACCCTACTTACCCGACCACACACCTGCCCTTACCCTACCTACCCCACCCCTTACCCACATACCCGACCCCACCCTACCCTATCCGACCCTACCCCTACCCTACCCCGCCTCAACCCCCACCCTACCTACCCGAACCCACCCTACCACTACCAGGGTAGGGTAGGGTAGGGGTAGGGGCGGGGTTGGGTAAGGTGGGGTCGGGGTGGGGTCGATGTGGTAAGGGCCTATGGGGGTAGGGGCCTATGGGGTCGGGGGTAGGGTTGTGGTAGGGTGGGGACAGGTTAGGGTGGGGTCGGGTAGGGGTAGGGTCGGGTAGGTAGGGTGGGGTCAGGTAGGTAGGGTGGGGTCAGGTAGGTAGGGTAGGGGTAGGGGGTAGGGGTAGGCGGTGGGTGGGGTCGGGGTAAGGTAGGGTGGGTAAGGGGTTAGGGGTATGGGTACACATATTATATTATATACTTGTGTTCATGAATGTTTGTGTGTATATATATGTATAGGGTTATTTTGGACATTTTAATGTTAAGCGGTGTTTTAAACCGTTTGAAGTAAACACGGTCTTACAACATTGTTTATTTTATGCGCCGCTTATTAACACGGGTCTTAATAAGCACCATTTAATAACCGGTGAAGTAAACATGTCCTTAGGCTTGGACCCGATTCGGGCCACCCGGCCCGGTACTGTGCGGGCCCGGCCCGGGAACCGGGTACCGGTTCTGAGTCTAAGCCCGGTTTGGGGTGGGTATTCGGGTCGGGTACGGGCTTAGGTAAATGAGAACCGGCCCGGCCGGTTCTGGGCCCGGTTCGAGCCTTTCAATTTTTTCCTTTGTTTTTTTGTTGGTTTGGCGCTTTGGGTTGGGTTTAAATGGACTGGAATGGGTCTTTCAGATGGGTTTGTGGGATGGGGGGTAGGGAATAAAAATAATCAAGCAAAAAAAAATAGAACCAGACCCGACCCAGCCCGAGCTCGGACCGGCACCGGTCAATTACCGGGCCGGTCCCGGTTCTCACATAAATATTTTTGGGCCCTGCCGGGCCTGGGCCCGACCCGGAACCGGGTCCGGTTCAGTCCATGACTACCTAGACTGCTACTCTGTATACGTTGAAGGCTCGATTGTATTCGTATATAACTATATAAGAAATGAATCAACTTCTCATCAAATCTGCTTTACCCTCCCCGTTAACCAACGGGTAGCTTCTGCAATTTGATTTATTATACTCCCTCCGTCCCAATTTGTTTTGCAAAGTCAACATTTTTCGGTCAACCAATAATAAAAGTCAACCTTCTCTATGGATACTTAATTCAATTTTTAATAATTAAAATTTACATATTCAAAAACTACATTAAAATCTTTTCAAAGTTATAAACTCCAATTAGAATATAATTAAAAATTGACATCCTAATTAAGTGGACAAAACGAGGTTGTTTGACTAAGAAAAGTCAAATTTGCAACTCTTTTTGGAACGGAGGTAGTACTTCGTACTACGTATTATGTATACATATAATATTTGAAAATTAAGTCTTTTGGTTTTGTGCTGCTTGAAATAAAGGCTTACAGTTTTTAGTGATCACTTCATTTTTGCACGCTACTCTTTCTTCTAGCGAGCTGTACACATATGTTAAATTTGGTGAATCGGCTATCATGCCAAATTATTTTCTAAACAAACAATGTAAAGAATCCACGTGTAATTTAAATATAGATTACACACATGACCAAATAGTGTATTTTTATTTTACATGCAAACTATTTTACTGTCCTAGACTTTAAATACAATCATTTTACATATAAAGTTTTAATGTGTGAACTGCCAAACGGGTCCTAAATTAGTGGCTACTTTTATATCCTAAATTGAAAATGTTGCATTTTTTCGAAAGTGTGGCAATTATTTAAGAACGGAAGAAGTACATCATTACTATCATGATTCATGGAACATGTTGAAAGGAATTGCAAGAGTTTTTTATCCCACTAGTATTGTACTCGTGCGATGCACGGGACATTATTATTCATATGTTTGTCAACAATTTTTTACTACTTAAAATGCTAATGTGTGATTTGAGGAAATAGGAATGCACGTATCATGTGATAAAAAAGAACATGTAAAATTATATATCACATGTAAAATTGATGTACAACTAAATACAAATATATTACTCGTATTATATTATGGAATTATTTGATTTTATGATCGATATGGAATTATTTAATTAAAAAAATACTAATATCAAACTAAATATGTTGAGGTACGAAAGAAATACTCCATAATAGATTGTACATTTTAAAAGCTTTTGGTTATATGACATCTAATTAAGGTGCCATCAAAGTTTCTCGTTAATATTCTTTTTTGTGACCGTATATATGATGATGATTCGTGATCGACACAAAATCTCACGATAATATATGTGTTGTCTTAAAGAATGACCTCCTATGAGAAAGCTATTCAAACTCAATTCTATTGATTTGTGCGTATTACATTAGATTATTAGAACCAGCTAACCCATGTGATGTAAGATGTAAATTAAAATTCCTTTTCATTTTTCTGTCTTGTTTTATACGGATCATATGTATGGAATTCTATTAAAACTAACTAAAATGCATCTATATTATCGTTATAACAATACATTATTAATACTTGGTATAATATAGATATAAAATAAAAAAAATAGTTGAGCACACAAAAGACGAAGACAAACAAAAAATATAGTGAGCAAGTACTGACGGAATTAAAATGATGAAATAATAGAATATTTTTTTTGGGAGAAATTGATCATTAAATTAACTGATTAAAATATTGATAATTATATTTACTTTTAAAGGAAGTAACATATACGTAGTATTATCTTAAAAAAGACTTTCAAATACAGATTTAAAAGTAAAATCTTAAAATACTTAAAATTTGAGCCTATAAAATTAGCATTTAAAATACGAACGCCACAATATTCGCGGGCAAAATGATTCGATTGGGGAAATCTTCAAACCAAACAAATCAAAATATTCGGGCAATATCAATTTCATATTGGACTTACAAAAAAATTTAGCTCTAAAAAAATATGCACACAATGACGGAATGACACATGTCCTCTCACTCTAACCCACATTTGACCGCCTCCGTCTCACGTTCTCACATCCAATATCTACTATTCTGTTCTTCTGCTTACTTTGTTTTCATAGTAGAAATCAAATGCACATCTCTACTTTCTTCTTCAAAGTTTTAATGGTGTTTAAGACAAATCTTAAATTAGTATCTGCCATCCTAATGAGGTATGGACATTCTAGTTCATCCAGGGCTACACAGAGCCCTCGACCAACAACTCAATCATCGAAGATTCTCTTTGGAGACAAGCAATCACCGCATTTAATGCGGCGTCACATCCACCCACCGCATTTAATGCGATGCACATTCGAACGCCAGTGCCACCAAATTGAGGTGACCCCTCGGCCGTCAGATTGTTGACACGTGTACCCTCATTGCATTTATTACTACTATAAATAGCACCCCTTATTCTCCTTGTAAAGCACGCTGAGTTCATTTAATAAAATCGACTCTCTCTCCTACTTGTTTGCTCTGGCTTCTCTCTAGGTTATTCTCATAATAACCCCTCGGATAAGCTACCCCCGGGTACACTGTCCATCATACGTAATAAATAACTGTCTTCCGTGGTGCCGATTAAATGGTTAATTAAGTAGGAAGGCGGCCGGGAACAATTTTTCACTCAAGAGTTGCATCGGCTGGAAGAATTATTGAACAGTTGTAATTGTTAGGCGGAAACACTTGTTGTCTTGGATTGGATTAGGTATTTTGGGCCATTTGAGGTGATTTGGGGTGGTTTGGGGTTGAGGGGGAGGGGTAGGGGGTTAAATAGGAGAACAAAAAAAAGGACCGGTTTGGCCCGGAACCGGAACCGGCCACCGGCGGTTCGGGCTCGGGCCCCAGTTTTCTGGCCCGAGGCCCGACCGGGCCCAGGCCCGAACCGGCCCGAGTCCAGCCCTAGCGCCGCCTATCCGTTTACTCTGGTTGCATGGAGCAGGGATGAATTTGGTTATGCAGGGACGGAGGATTGATGCATGGCCTTTGGCAGACAAAGGTCACGGAGTATCAAAGCATGGTACCGGTGGTAAGACCTCCTGAACCACCACCATGGGATATATGAGGTGCTAGAGTTCGTGAACGTTTTTCTTGTAGTTTTTATCTATTTGTTATTTGTTTTCTTGTGTCCACTTTTATTGTTGGTTTTGACAGTTTGTTTGAGTTTTTTGTCTCTCTTTATGTCATTGGGTATGATTGGGTCTATGGGAATAGGTAGGGGTGGACCGGTTCGGGCCTAGGCCCGACTGGTTCGCGGTTCTGTTTTGTTGGGCCCGAGCCCGAACCGGTAGCCACCGGTTCTGGGTCCGGTTCTGGGCCGGGCCAGGCCACCCGATTTGTAATTTTTTTTGGCTTCTCCTATTTAACCCCCAACCCAACCCCCTCACCCCCAAACCACCTCAAATGGCCCAAAATACCCAGCCCAATCCAAAAACTTAAAAAAAAATCAGAAAAAAAAAATTTGGCCCGGACCGAGCCCGAACCGGCCGGGCCGGTTCACCAAATGGAGGGCCCGAGCCCGAAACCGAAGCCCACCGGGACGGGTGACCCGAACCGGGCACTAACCGTTCACCGGGCCGGTCCGGGCCCGCACAGTAGCGGGCCGGCCCGGTTCCGGGCCGGTTGGCCCAGCCCGAGTCCATCCCTAGGAATAGGTTTGGCTGTGTCAAGCCCACTACATGGTTAGCGATTCGTGTTGCTCTCTCAGAGGTGACTGTCTCAAAGTCTCACCATAGGGTTACAGTCGTAGTTGTTGAAGTTTCAGTTGGTGTCAGGATGTTTTTACTTGGACTATAATTTGTCCCAGACCAGACCAGACCAGTTCAGACCAGACCAGACTTGGATAGTTATAAAAATACAAAGAAACCAGACCTTACCAGACCAGACCAGTTCAGACCAGATCAGACCAGACCAGATCAGACCAGCAAATTACAGTCCAAGTAAAAACATCCTCAGTTTTATTTTCCTTTTGCTTGATGTAATGATCCTGAATCTTTTGATTTTAATAAAGGCCTGTTTCATGATATAAAAAAAATATTAGTCATATTTTTTAAAAGTAAACTAGTCACTTTTTGTTTTAAAGTCGGGAGATCTAAGTAGGATGTTTTTTTTGGGACTGTTTTCAGTCTCAGACCAGATTTCCATAGTTATAAAATACACATAGACCAGACGTTTATCAAACCAGACCAGATCAGACCATACCAGCAAATTTCAATCCAAAAGAAAATATCCTAATTACTCCATACTACATAATATTTTTGTCCTTTTTGAGATTTTGCATTTATTTTTTTAATTTTGTGTATCAAATTAAAAAAAAAGGATGAAGTAAAGGTATTATTTGTTCACCTGATTTGCAAACATACGTTGTTGGGTACTAGGACATTTGGATTCACTTCCATCATACCCATTTTATACTTTGCTCTCCTTTTTTTTAAAAAATTTGGTTGAATAATCTAACAAGAAAAGAGACAAGAACCATTTGTGGCATGAATGCATGCATGATCAGCATGGGGAACTCCATGGGTTCAAGTGTTCACTTCCTCCGCCTCCTCTCCATTGTTCTTCTTCACCTTCTTGGCATTTTATCAAATACCTTGCTGCTGGATCTTCTTCACCCTCTGAATATCACACAAGGCCAACATGTACGCAAATCTTTCTTGCCTCCTCCATGGGATTAATCTTAGCAGCTGTTATTCATTTCCGTGTCAAGGAAATCCGGGACCTGAAAATCATTCCAAGAATTAAACTCTCTGATTCCGGCCAAATTCTCAAGCTTGAAAGGTTTCCTCATTATGTAGGTAATGTTTAATATCAATCTGAATCAACATCTTAGCTGACTCCATTTTCTTATTTTTCTTTTATTATATGTCTATTTAGTGCGTAGAATACATATCAAAGTCTGTTTTTCGCATCCACTTAGAGAGTTATTAACTTGTTTTAAGAAAATTGATTCTTTAATTAGCATTAAGGCAAGGATGATGTCAATTCACTGTTACAATTAATTAGCTTGTACTGTTTGTTTCTAAATAGTTGTGTGGGTTTGAAATATATGTTATGTGGAATTGTGGCAGCTAGGCAAATGGGATTTGCAGATAAGAGAGAATGTCCAACCTTGTGCAAATTAGCTTCTGAATATATAAGAAAAGCAGAAGGGTGTGAAGAGGACATATATAATTTCTTTGCAGCTGAACCGGGTGCATATTCTCTATTCATAAAGCTTGTGGAAGAGCTTGAAAGATTAATCCTTAGTTATTTTGCATTTCATTGGAGCCAAGTTTCTAATATGATCAGCCAGGTACTAGATGTGACCCCTAGTTGTGAAAACTTGATCAAAGCTGTTAATTCATCTCACATAAGCTGAATATAAAGATACAAGTTCACATACAAGGTTTCTGACTCTTCTTCCTATGAGCTTTAATAGAGTTTTCAGTGTCTATTTTGATTAAACAAGCAACTAAGCCTAAAGAAATTAAGAACATGGGTTTCAAGATTGATCTTTCACAACGAGTCACAATCTTCGTCATGTTAAGTCATCTCACACCGGCCAAATATAAAATTCAGTCCCACTTGCCCAACTCGTAATAAAAACATTTTAATATATGAGTTGGATTTTTTTTTATTTTGTAGTGAAATATAATCACCCCAACACTGTGTCTTACCTTATTTCCAGGTTTTAAATGCTGCTGATCATACTGAGCCAAAGAAGAAGCTCAAGAACATTGTAATGGCAGCTACTAGGTGTTTCTAAATCCATATTGTTCGATTGCTTGTCGTATTTTAAATTAGACTAGTTATTGCTTATGAGTTTCTATGATATCAAAGAACATTACTTTCATAGTATCATAACTGCTACCATTACTAAAGTTAAGCAACAGCATTTTTTGTGTTCCTTATTCCTGTCCTCTTGAAATGACAATACTTTGAACAGTGGGGGGTAAACTTAAAGTAAAACCCAATTTAAATGGCTAGATGTTATTTTAATTTTATAACATTATTATAACATGAGATATCACTTTTATATAAATATTTAAAGAGAGCAGAGATTTGAGAGGGTGACTAAGAATCTGAAGGTTGCAAGAGTGTTTACAACCTTAGTGGAGGAGATGAAAGCCATAGGACTTGTTGGTGCCGATAAATTGCAATGCACAGATGTGATGGTTCCTATGGCTCACAAAGATAGGAGCCCACTCCTCTTTATGGGTGGTGGCATGGGAGCTGGGAAAAGCAGTGTGCATATTGTATAAGAAAATTGGGATAAGAAACCCTAAAGCACTTTTGTCAAACAGCAAAATTCAATTAATAATATTATATACTTTGTATATCTTTTGGGTACATAATCACTACATATGTACGTACCATTTTCTGCATGTATATGAAATTCTTGTGCTCCTTGCCGGGGATGGATTTAGAGGGGCAACCGCCCCCTTAGATTTTCAAAATTTTCTACTATAAAATTACTACTTTCATACAGTTTTCATACTTTAATTAAATATATACATGTTAGCCCCCCTTAACTTTTAGTTTACAAAACTAATATGCATACATACATACACACATACTAGCATCGGCATGCGCGTTCTGCGAGGCTTCATGCAATCATGCCCAACAAGAAAATACAGCAAAAGGAAATAGGACATAAATAATGACTAAAATAAACAGTGAAAAATGTCACTCACTGTGCAGGTGCTTCCATGCATGTAGTAGCCAACAGGTAGCATACTTCTCTCAGATTGGCATACATCACTTAATTCTGGCTCATGACCACATCTCTGATCATATAAATTTCAAAGATCTGGATATTATAAAAAGAAAACTTGATTAAACCTATAGTGTCTATAAATTACTAAGTACTGATTGAGTAACACTTGAGCAAGAAAAAAATGACAGCACAACAAGTTTCCCTTTCAAATATTTTCTTCGGGAAGTAAAGTTCTATAACCAAATTGTATTCTGCACACGGTAATATTATACTCCGTATAAAGAATAACATGTATGTAAAAATCAAAAGCTTTAATAAAAATCTAAAATAGTGGACCTGAGGATAAAACTTTAATTATTTTCCCAATAAAAAACCACCAAGATCAGTGGGGTAAATGCCGGAATAGCAAAAAGAAATCTAAACAAAAAGACAAGAGGCAATTATAAACGAAGAGTGGGAATAGCCTCCAAGTCCATCTGAATCAGCGCCTGAATTTTTTATTTTATAATAACAAAATGATCATCAAAGCCTCCATTTTTAATATAACGATTTCAGTCATTCTCTGCTAAATCGAATAAGTCAATATTGTTAGCATCAAATTCTTCTGCCTCATTAGCATCAAAACGTATATTGCATAACCACAATGTGATTATGTGAAAGAAAAATTAATGGATAAGTCATCAATCTTAACCACCCTTGTTGAGACCACCAGTCCACAAATATATATATAGAGAAAAGGAAAATAAATTGAGAATCTGATGCCAACTTGCTTCTTGGCATACCTTACGGCTAACTTCACTCTCCATAAGGTCTCATTTTTTCTCTTCAATTCCCTCTGCAAGAAATTCAATGAAAAGTTTATGCAAGCTGGCACATATAATAAATATTATTTTCTTAATCCATTAGGAACATACCTTCACGAGAGTGTCAAGAATGGACTTTGCTTGTTGAAGGTTGCGTCTAACCCGAAGATCGCATGTCATTTGTTACTTTCAACCAGCAACAGAAGAATCAAAGTACATGATTATCTTTTAACATGTGTGGCTCATAAATAGTATCAATACAAATATACATACAACTCATAGCTCTATATCATTGATATGAGTGTCCTTTCGAAAAAATGAACACAACTTTGTGTGGTCAGCTAGGCCAACTTTTCTACGACCAAAACCCATAAGTAATTAAACAATAAGGAGGTGTTTGGAACTTAATTCTGCTCCTGCTTCTTTTTTAAAAGCAGAATCAGAATAAGTTTTTCAGAAGTTGGTCTCCCCCAGCTTCTAAAAACTGCTTCTAGGAGTAATTTGGAGCACTCGGAAGTATTTCTCCACTCTCACCCAAACACTCCAATATTTTCTTTGGCTCCTTCACAGTTTTAAGAAGTAGAACCAAACACTCCCTAAAACACATTAGAAATAACAGAAAAATGTTAAATTTACTACCAGATCAATTGAAGAATTGAATGTGAAAACTAAGCAATACAAGTGACGAGAAAAGAAAATTTTTTACCCATGAACTTCAAACTAACCAGAGATGAAAAAACACCACCACCAAGTGGCAAAAGAAAGCAGCAAGTTGAGTAAATCTAAGTTCTGGAGCTTGAAACGCAGATGAGGGTATGAGAGCGGTTGAGATGTCGAGCAAGGAGCTAAATGAAAGGCTCATATGTATCCGCATCCATCAAAAGGAAGTCGTTAAAGGAGTTAATAAGTCGGGAATGTAGTCAACAGGCGTAGGCCCAAACTAACTCTCTTCCACATTTGATACATATAGAGTCTCGTTCAAGTCAGGAGCTCTTGATCGAACCATTCAAACCGCCATGCGGAATTCACTGTTTTCGGTGGAATTTTTTAATGATTTTTTTTAGCATTTTCTTCATCAATTCTAGTTTATGTCCACCAAATTTCGACTTAAAATTCAACCGGAAAGACAATTAAATAAATTATTGAAACATTCTACGCTTTATATACGTGTTCGTCCCCCTTACGATTTATTTAGACATGGCAGAACAGTATGAATGAAACAATTATTTTCTTAAACGATCACGAGAAGTCGAGAACCCTTGCAAAAAATAAAAGATCATGAGAATACTAAGGGGAGCGGCTATAATGGAGGTAAGTGGTTGTATTTTCATAATTGATATTTGGTATGCAAGACATCATTAACGGTTGCGTTATAGACATAATATAATTTTCTTTTACCAATGGTCTCATAGTCATTATTACCCCCTCAACTCCATGAGAGTTTAGAAACTCCCACACGGGTCTTTTGCCCCCAAACTTATCTACCTCATCAACACCCTATGAGGCATATGGCATGCTCATTTATTTTCCTTGGATGCGGCCTATACTCCCCTAACCGTGGAACCACAACAATGTTATGTTCTATTGTATCGATGAAACCCTTTAATTTTGGACCAAATCCCTTTATATAACGAATATAAAATTTCTTGGCCTATAAGCAAAAAACATTAAAAAATAGGTAATCATTAAATAAGAAATAAATGATTACTATTACCGTAGAAGGATAAAATTCGGTGTTAGTGTCATATGAATCATCTCTTATGATGCCATGATGATATATATATTTGAGCATACTGTAAATGATTTTGTCTGTAATGCCCTAAAAATGTGTAAGATGTGATGGATGGAGAGTTGTGGATGTACATTGTTTTTCAAGCTACGAAAATGTTAAATTGGAAAATCATGACAATATGCAAGGTATGCAAATTTTTGCAACATACAACAACCTTAAATTATTACTACCTCCGTCCCCCTAAGTTTGGGACAAGAGAAGGTGACACGGTTATTAATAAAAGTGTTTTTATGTTGTTGATATTGAATTGATAAAGTAAGAACCATTTAGAACCACACAAATTTTACCAAATAAGGTATGAGACAATCTTAGTGGGATAGACTGAAAAGGTAAAATGGGACAATCATAGCGGGACGGAGGGAGTACTATATTATAATAATATTTCCATGAGTATACATGATTCACTTGTACATAGACTGTAATACAAATGAGGGACACTTCACATTTGGTTTGAGAATTATTGTCATCGATTCAAGTTATTTTCTACAATTCTAATAACACCGACTCCAATGACTAAACAACAAATTTTGAAAAAGGGCATAATAGAAATTTAATGGCTTCTCCTTGGTAGAGAGCGGTTGAGAGTACAGCCTCGGTTCTCCATGTCATGCCAGCATTTTCTGCTGAATTCCGTGATGTAAAGTTAGCATCGAATATCCTCTGAATGAGCAAAAAATCGAATAATAGACATCAACATCAAATAGTACACCACTGTGATTCAAAGCAAACAAAGTAAATAAGACGCAGACAAAAAAAATATTACGTACGTATTTACTTTATTTGCTTTGAATCACAGTGGTGTACTATTTGATGTTAATGTCTACTATTTGATATTTTGCTCATTCAGAGGATGTTCCTTGCTAAGTTTACATGGCGTCATCCACTAGAAGATGCTGACATGACATGGAGAAACGAGATTGTACTCCCCATCACTCTCTACCAAGGAGAAGCTAGTAAAATTCAATTATGCCTTTTTTTCAAAATTTGTTGTTAGAATTGTACAAAATAATTCTCAAACCTAAGTGTGAAGTGTCTCTCATTTGTATTAAACTACAGTCATGTCTATTAATGCACATAATATAATAATATAATAACTTAGGTTTTTGTATGTTACAAAGACATGCATCCTTCATGTCGTACATACGGTCATGACATCTCAATTTCACATTCTAGCAGCTCGAAAAAACAAGGTCGCTTCCCAACTATCCCTCCATCACCTCTTAGACATTTACTAGGGACTTGCAGACAAAACTATTTAAAGTGTGCTTATATATGAACATCGCCATGACATCGTAGGAGTTGAGTCGTAAGACACTAGCACCAAATCTTATCCTCCTACGATATTAATAATCATTTACTACTTATTTATTAATTACCTATTTTATTAATTTTTGATGTTTTTATTTGTAGGCCAAAAAATCTATATTCGTTATACAAAGAGATTTGAGCCAAAAGCAAAGGCTTTCATCAACATAATAGAGCATAACATTATTGTGGTTCCACTGTGAAGAGAGTTTAGGTAGCATCCCAGAGATATAAATGGGCATGCAGTATGCCTCATAGAATGGGGATGAGGTAGATGAGGTTGTGGGCAAAAGACCAATGTGGGAGTTTCTAAACTCTAATGGAGTTGAGATGTAATGATGGCTATGAGACCGTTGGTAAAAGAAAATATCATTATGTCTATTTACCTCCCTTATGGCCTCCACTATAGCCATTCCCCTTAATATTATTGTGATCCTTTATTTTTATATTTTGCAAGGGTTCTTGTGATCTTTTTAAATAGAATCGTATTATCCATACTCTTATGACATGTTTAAATAAATCTCTAACCACATAAATTCATTTTCTTGATAATCTTACCGAGGTAAACTGGAATCTATTTAGGGACAGAATGTGTGCATATTAATCTGTATATTAATTATAAAGATAAATAAATAATCTTAGTTCAATGTGCAAACTTCATGATCTAGTCTATCTCAAGTATCAAAATTGGTGCCCTTAAAAATTGAATCATTCTCATTTCTAACAATGCGTTCATCCAATTACAAAAATCGATTATTGTCAATCGTTAAGAAAACCACATTTTAAACAACAGAAATGATTAATTGCTGAGATATCAAATTCCCAGACCTCAGAAACAGATTTTGGCATTAAAGCATTGAAATCCAGTTGAAACTACTTTCTCTTTACATTCAAGACTCTTTTTTTCCGTTGCAGAAAAACAAAAAGCTTGTAGATTATCTAAAGAGCTCAAAATGGTAAATTTAGCATGAATTACTAAAAAGATTAACTTCAAATGAGTGATAATACTAATTTCGGGAAAGAGAGTGACCTTGCGGTAAAGAACGAGTGATACCATCGCAGAGGATAATATAAACACCCTTTTCAGGACTTTGCTTTGTTCTGGGAATATTGAGATGGAAATGATGACGTGGCGGAAGAAGATGCCGGTCCTTCAAAATCACCGTCTTTGACTCTTTGGCCAGGTTTTCGCCGCTGTTTTTATCGCCGCCGCTGATGCGGCGGTTTATAGTAGGGATCGTCTCAGTTACAAAGTTTCTGGTAGGTTAAATCTGGCACAGATACGAAAGATTGGGTATGTAAGTCACCTAATCTTTTTTTGCAAAACAGAAGATGAGAAGAAAAAGATAGAAAGCACGAAGTTGGGACTTGATAGAAAAACTGTACCTTTGTGGTGGAAGAACACGAAATTACTGTGGTAGAAATGAATGAGATCGAGATGATATCTTTTGCGTGAGCAGGTTTGACCGTTTGAGCAAGAATCTTCCAACCTACTACCTCCGACCCCCTCATGTAAATGTTTTTCTTCATGAAAAACAATGTCATGTAAAATACTCCCTCCGTCCCGAAAACAACTTCCCACTTTGACCTACATACATATTTAGGAAATAAATTTGACTTTACTGTAGAGTACACTGTTTGGCACTATTTAAACACTGTTTGGCACTGTTTAAACACTGTTTGGCACTGTTTATCACTTTTTTGATGTAGATAATTTGTCAAATAAGGAAAGTATTGAAATGGGAAGTTAATTTTGGGACATCCATTTAAGGAAAGTGGGAAGTTGTTTTTGGGACGGAGGGAGTAGGTGTTAAATGAGTTTTGGAATTCTAAAATAGAACTAATGTCATGTAAATGTTTTTTCTTCATGTAAATAGGATACTGTCATTAATTATTATAAATTTTGTCATGCTAAATACATTGCATGGTAACTATTTAAAAGTCACGCCTACAAGATAGCAGTAAATATTGTCATGTTAGTCCTATTTCGAAGTATAAAAAAATACTCCCTTCGTCCCAATATAAAAGGCACATTTGTGTTTGGGGAGTTTTTAAGGGTGAACACTGTTTGACACTGTTTGGACACTGTTTGGCACTGTTTGGCACTGTTTTGTTTGCCAAAAAGGGAAATGTGCCTTTTATATTGGGACGGACCGAAAAGGAAAGTGTGCCTTTTATATTGGGACGGAGGGAGTAGCAATTATATTTTGAAATTCTAAACTCCATTTACTCATATTTTGAATATCCTCTCTATTTTGAGACAACCCAAAAAAGAAAGTAAGACATGTAAAATGAGACGGAGAGAGTATAAGATAAAGAGGCGGTGCCCAAAGTATCCTAAAGATTTGTTTAGTGCATTTAGAAGCTGTTATGTTCACCTGGACTGAATGTTTCTGATTTAAATTTTTAAGATCTGATCTAATTTGATTTTTTTTACCTGGTCTAATCTAAATCTTTCTAATTTGATCTCTTGTGATCTGAATCCTTCCGATTTGATATGAATCATTCTGATCCAAATATTTCTGATCTGATTGAGTGTTTATTACTCTGTACTTTTATTATTATTATTATTATTATGGAAATGACATTTTATTAGGATAAGAAAAGTTGAAAATTACAAAGAACAAGTAATTTATTATTGTTGTTGTTGTTGTTGTTGTTAGGGAAAATTGCATATATGGTCCCTCAGTTATCCACGAAATTAAAATTTCAGACTCGTATTTCTGAGATTGTAAATGTCACCCCTCAATTGTCCAAATTGTTGTAAACGTGGTCCTTTAAGTAGTGAAATATATTTTCACCCACATTGTATATTTCACCCCTCAAAAGGACCACATTTAATCATTTTGCACAATTGAGGGGTGACATTTTTTTTAGAAAAAGGCGGCTTATATTGTAACACCGTCCCCAAAAAGTATTTACTTTTAAGTAAAAAAAAAAATGTATTGAACTTATGGAATGGTTAACGAGTATTCGAAGTTGTGAATCTTTATTAATGTTTTTGCGTGAATAGCAAATTCGCCCGTGGGGCCCGCACCGGGAACGGGGGCCGCCCGATATTCCCGAGACCGTATATTTTATTCATCTTGGTCAATATAACATTTATATGGTGGTGGATAATTTATTTGGTCCAAAGAAATAATATAGAGTTGACCGGTTGATCAAAAAAGGCCAAAATACCGGTATCGGTAATTTAACAGATAACAGCCCGAAACGAATTTCAGAGGCTTATAAATTAAAGTTGGGGAATGTATATTCATTATAAAGGGTATAATGATTAAGAACACACAAAATATTTTATTTGAACCGATAAAATAAAATATATTTAAAACAGTCCGAAAAATACAACTTTCGGGACTGATTGTACACTTGTGGGCAAAAGGGGTTGACCTCCCACATGGGTGGGGGCCAACCCACGAATGTGGACACATTTTTTTCAAGACTTGGGCGGCTGGATGGAGAGGGGAGGGATGGGAGATGTTGGAGTTGAGAGGAAAGGCATCAAAGGTACACATGGGCTCCCATTTCTTTTTGTTTTGTTCACTCATTTGATCAAGACAAAGAAAATCCTCACCCACTCTCTCCCTCATCCCTGCGGCCAGCACCTCCAAGAAAGAGCCAAGCAAATTCTCCATCTTCCTTCTCCATTGTTGGAGAAAGCTCCACAAGAAAGAATCCCAAGGGAAGGAATTAAAGTGCTAAAAGTGTGATAGGATTAAGGTAATGACCTTATCATAACTTTTTCTTAATTTTTCTTCTACCATATGAGATGTATATCATATGGGGAACCCTTGAGGTTGTTCCACATGCCAATAGGGTGGAATAATGGGTTGGGGAGTAATTCTAAGTCCAAGAACGGACTTAAAAGCCAAACCGACGGGTTCACCGGAAAATAACCTTTTAAGGGTTATGGGTTTTGATTAAGGTTTTATGATGTTAAAACCTTGTTAGGAACTTGGTATAGAGTATCTTTGAGCTTCGCCGGAGTTTCGCCGGAGTTGGTCAAAGTTGGCCGGAGTTGGTCAAAGTTCACCGGAATTAGTCCAAGTTCAACCGCGGAGCGTAGAACACGCTTAAGCTCACTTAAGGTGAGGATGACCGACTATATTGCTTATAATCTTTGGGTTAATTTCATAAGAGTTCCTAAATGAATACACAATGTGATTTGCATGAATTATTAATGGTTATTAATGTCTAAATGAAATTACTATTGATTATAAGTATAGTTTGCATAACATACAAATTTATTGAATAAATTGTGTATGTTTATATGTTATGAATATGATGGCATGATAGTAGTATCAACCATAAATTTCATTTATGATAAGTATGCTTTTTAATTCATGAGAAGAAGCCATGAAAGAATAAAAGTGATATTTTGATATTAAGGTCAAACTACATATTGAATGAAGAATTACATTGAAATGAGTAAATAACTAGTATGGAAATATTAGTTGGGATTGTAGATGAATAATGGATGAATGGATCCTAAGAAATTTAATTGTAAAGAATCGGTGATTATTGAGCTGGGCTCTAGACCGATGTAGATAACGGTGATTATTGAGCTGGGCTCTAGACCGTGATAGTTATCGGTGATTATTGAGCTGGGCTCTAGACCGATGTAGATAACGGTGATTATTGAGCTGGGCTCTAGACCGTAGTAGTTATCGGTGATTATTGAGCTGGGCTCTAGACCGATGTAGATGACGGTGATTATTGAGCTGGGCTCTAGACCGTAGTAGGTAACGGTGATTATTGAGCTGGGCTCTAGACCGTGGTAATAAATGATGAAATGACACTAAACGAACAAAGTTAATCATGAGATAATAACACCCTAAATTGAGGGTCTTGGAAATTGAAACATTGATTATACTTAGTATAGTTGTCATTGTACTTGTCAAATGCTTCCAAGTACTGACCTCCCCTTCACAGGGGAGGCCACCTCACAGTTTCAGGTAGGAGCTGAGCTTGCTACCAGTGCCCGTTGCTCCGGGCGAATTCAAGGAAGGAAGACGTGGTTCGTGCTTCCTCCGTTCCAGTTTTAAAAACATTTAAGTTAATGCTCATGGATATTACATTTTGAATAATCATTTGGGGGCTTGTATGCCCATGTTTGCCAAAGTGTGGCATGAACACTTTTATTAAATATTTCCGCTGCCTTGAATGAATGTTTTACATTATGCTTGTTTATGGATGTACTATGTGTGAATGATATCCCAGACGCCTTGTATAGTATGGATGTGTTGAACTGTGGTTGACTATTCGTACTGTACGGCGGATTGTTGACGTGTCCGGATAGGTCCGGGGCGTGACAATTTAATTGGTATCAGAGCCTTAGTCCGTAAACTTCATAATGAAGCTTCAAAATCTCTTTTCGAAAATGAATTTGAAAACCATGAGCATAAAAGTTTTGTACTTATAGAACTTTTGGTACTTGAGTTGCAAAGTCTCTAATTGTTAAGATGGTACCCTTAACAATTGGTATGACGGTGATTTGAGCCAAAGGATGTCTTTAAGTACCTATCCGTCACTTGACATTGATACGAGTCTAATGACTCATTCTACTTCCTTTCAGAAATGGAGCCAGTCGGAAGGATCACTAGGAGGAACCCGACGGGCCGTGTACCGGGTGGGTCCGAGCGCGGTAGCCGGGGGTCCTCTAGGGGATCAAGAGGAAGAGGCCGCGGAGGCCGACAACAACAAACCGTAAGCGATGGCCACGTCGATACGGAAAGCGAGACCTATTGGTCTTATGAGGACTCGACCTACCGGCCGGAAACTGAGCCGGTTGAGACCCCTTATGAAGGGGATGACGACGATGTTAGTGACGAGGAGGAAAATGGCTCCTTGGCTAGGATTGAAGCACTGCTCCAACAATATCATCGGGAGCGTGAGGAAAGGAGAGAACGCCGAAGGCGCCGTGCAGGGCCACCTTCGGGCGGGGCTCCAAGAGGGAGGAGCTACTGTGATTCGAGGACCCATGTAGAAGCGCATGGGAGCCGTGGTGATGGAGGTCCAACCATAAGGATCTCCAAATACATCAAGGAGGCGAGAGACTTGGGGTGTAAACCGTTCGATGGGACGGGAGACATCTCAGTTGCCGCGCAGTGGATCAAGAGGCTGAACGAGGCAGCCCTTGACATGCAACTCACCCCCGATTTCAAATTGAGAATCGCGGTGAGGTTACTTGAAGGGTTAGCATCCAAGTGGTGGGATGGAACCAAGGGTATGTATGGCGGGACGGTTACTTGGGAGGATTTTCGGCAAGAATTCTTTGCCCAATACTACTCCGACTTTGAGGTAAACGCCAAAGTGAGGGAGTACACTCTTTTGACCCAAGGGGGTAACATGACGGTGAAAGAACTTGAGCATAAGTTCAGGGACCTTGCCGACCACATACCGGAGTATGCGTGTGATGAGAACCGAATGGTGAATCACTTTTGGGAGGCCTTGGACTTGGAGATACGTGATAGGGCGACTCAATTGCCCAACATGACTTTCAGCCAAGTGGTTGCCCAGGGGTTGAAGGGAGAAAAGCAATGGGAGGAAAGGAAGAAGAGGGACGCCGAGGAGGCAAAGAAGAGGAAATGGGAGAGCCATGGCCCCCAAGGTTCTAATAAGAAAGGGAACCATGGGGGAGGAGGATCATTCAGGGCACCGGCACCACCATCTAGGGGAGGCTCAGGCACGGGTGGACAAACCTCGGGCTCGCAAGCCCCAATGATGATTAGATGCAGGAATTGTAACAGGAACCATGGGGGTAAGTGTCGTGACCCTCCTCGGTGCTACCAATGTGGAGACACGGGGCATATTAAACCAAATTGCCCTCAACTTGGTGGGAACCGAGGGGCGGGATCGAGTGGCGCTACTACGGCAAGTAGGAACCGGACTGGGGCACCTCATGCTAGTACGGGGCAAGGGGGAGCGAGCACGAGCAACGCGCCGTCCGTGAACCAAGGAAGGACTCAAGCTAGAGTCTACGCAATGACCGAGGCCGACGCTCGGGCCAACCCCGACTCCGTTGCAGGTAATCCTTTGTAACGATTGATAAATTACATGTATTGAGTGCTAAAAGTGATAGCGGGTTTGTACGGGCTCGCCGGGGCCGATACCGGCCGGTTTCCTAGCAAAAAGTTGCAAAAAATAAACTGCCCAGGGGTAAACCGGCGCCGGTCGAGGCTTAAACCGGCGCCGGTTCTAATTAAAAAGGCTTGTTTTGAGGTTGCCGTGGGTCAACCGGCGCCGGTTTTGGCCCATAACCGGCGCCGGCCAAGGATCGGGGGCTTAAGGTGATTAAAAATTTTAATTCTGGGGGGGCGCCGTAGCAAAACCGGCGCCGGTTTTGGCCATAACCGGCGCCGGTCTAGGGAAATGGGGGTCGGGAAAATCACCGTGCTCGCAACCGGGGCCGGATTTGGATTTACCGATGTTGCCGAAGGTGAACCGGCGCCGGTTTTGGCCATAACCGGCGCCGGTCCAGTTTATTTTGCGTGAATCCGGCCACCCCGAAGGCAAACCGGCGCCGGTCTTGCCTAGAACCGGCGCCGGTCCAGTGTATTTTCACCCGAAAAAAAAAAAAAAAAAAAAAAAAAAAAAAATTCGTTAAGCCCCGTTTCGATCCGGTACGTTGCCTAGTGTGTCTTACATGACTTATGAATGTAGGAACATTAAAGATCAACGGTAGAAACGCAAGAATTCTCATTGATACCGGGGCACAACGTTCATTCGTGAGTGAAGCGTTTGCCGAAAGTTTAGACGTGCCGTTGATAGTAATGACACAACCCTTGTTGGTCTCTACACCGTTGGGAGACGATGTGGAGAGGAAACACTACTATCCTTCGTGTGAGGTAGAAGTGACGGGTCAACCTTTGACTTGTGACTTCGTACCTCTAAGTATGTTAGAATTCGATGCAATTCTAGGGATGGATTGGCTCGAGAAACATCATGCTCGAGTGGATTGTTATGCCAAGGTTTTGGAACTCGAGGATGCTGAGGGAAACACTCTACGTTTCGAGGGAGATCGGGGAGGATCTCATAGTTGCATAATATCCGTGATGAGGGCACGGAAGATGATGAAGAAGGGATGCCACGCATACCTTGCTTACGTGGTGGATGAAGCAAAGAAGGAGGTTGACATCAACGATGTACGTGTCGTGTGCAAATATCCGGATGTCTTTCCCAAAGACTTGCCGGGGCTTCCACCCGACAGGGAGATCGAATTCGTAATTGAAGTGGAGCCGGGAACCAAACCCATTTCGATTCCTCCTTATCGAATGGCACCGGCCGAGCTTCAAGAGTTGAAGGTTCAACTTCAGGAGCTATTGGACAACGGGTTCATTAGACCCAGTCATTCACCGTGGGGAGCACCCGTACTCTTCGTAAAGAAGAAAGATGGTACACTAAGAATGTGTATAGACTATCGACAGCTAAACAAGGTCACAATCAAGAACAGGTACCCTTTACCGAGGATTGATGACTTGTTCGATCAACTTCGAGGGGCAACAGTATTCTCGAAGATTGATTTAAGGTCAGGGTATCATCAGCTGAAGATAAAGGAGAGTGACATACCTAAGAGTGCATTTCGCACTAGATATGGCCACTACGAGTTTTTGGTGATGTCATTTGGTCTAACCAATGCACCGGCGGCATTCATGGACATGATGAACCGGGTGTTCAGTGAATACTTAGATCAATTTGTGATAGTATTCATTGACGACATTTTGATATACTCCAAGAGTGAAGAGGAGCATGAAGATCATTTGAGTCTTGTACTTGAACGGCTAAGGGAAAAACAACTCTTTGCCAAGTTCTCTAAATGCGAGTTTTGGCTCAAGGAGATTGGATTTCTCGGGCATGTCGTGTCAAGTTCGGGCATTTCGGTGGATAAAGCCAAGATAGAAGCCATTATGAATTGGGAGAGACCCAAAAATGTGAAAGAGATACGTAGTTTCCTTGGCTTAGCGGGCTACTATCGAAAGTTTGTTGAAAAATTTTCCGTATTGGCGTCTCCATTGACAAAACTCACGAAGAAAGGGGCCAAGTTCATATGGGACGACAATTGTGAGAAAGGCTTTCTCGAACTAAAGAAACGGCTTACGGAAGCACCGGTTCTCGCCCTACCCACACAGGGGATAGGGTATGACATATATAGTGATGCTAGCATCCAAGGGCTTGGATGTGTACTCATGCAGAACGGTCGGGTGATTGCCTATGCTTCTAGGCAATTGAAGAAACACGAGGCGAACTACCCTACCCATGATCTGGAGTTGGGGGCGGTGGTGTTTGCACTAAAGATTTGGAGACATTATCTCTATGGAGAGACATGTCACATTTTCACCGATCATAAGAGCCTCAAGTATGTATTCACTCAGAAAGAGTTGAATATGAGGCAAAGGAGATGGATGGAGTTGATCAAGGACTATGACTTGATCATCGACTATCATCCCGGAAAGGCCAATGTAGTGGCCGATGCACTAAGCAGGAAGGGTACGTCGGGGACATTACTCACATGTCTACGAACTTTGAGGGCACAAGTGGAGGTGTCCACGAGTGGGGTCCTCATTGCTAGATTCGAGGTTAGACCTACATTGCTGGGTGAGATCAGTAGATGTCAGGCCGTTGATGAAGAATGTCAGAAGATCCGGGAGAGGATCCTTGAAGGGCCCGTGGAGAACTTTCGGGTACGTGATGACGGTCTTTTATTGTTTAAAGACCGTGTATGCATACCAAAGAGTGAAGAGCTCCAAAAGTCCATACTAGAGGAGGCTCATTCTTCGGCATATGCTATGCATCCAGGGGGTACTAAAATGTACCGAGACTTGAAGGAAAGTTACTGGTGGTCGGGTATGAAGAGAGACATCGCAGAGTACGTGAGTCGATGCCTTACTTGCCAACAAGTTAAGGCAGAGCATCAGCACCCGGCGGGGCTTTTGCAGCCACTGACCATTCCAGAATGGAAGTGGGAGCATGTTACCATGGACTTCGTGGTGGGGCTACCACGAACAGTGAACAACTACGATGCAGTATGGGTAGTGGTTGATAGGCTCACTAAGAGTGCACACTTTTTACCTATCAACATTACTTATCCTCTTGAAAGATTGGCAAAGTTATACACGGAAGAGATTGTGAGACTACATGGAGTCCCGATATCCATTGTCTCGGATAGGGATCCACGGTTCACATCTCGATTTTGGCCCAAGTTTCAAGCATCTTTGGGTACTAAATTGAAGTTTAGCACAGCTTTTCATCCACAGACGGATGGACAATCTGAAAGGGTGATACAGATATTGGAAGACATGCTTAGGGCATGTGCTCTGGAGTTCCAAGGAAGTTGGGACAAACATTTGGCCCTAGTCGAGTTCGCCTATAACAACAGTTATCAGGCGAGTATTGGTATGCCTCCATACGAGGCCTTGTATGGGAGGAAATGCAGAACACCGTTGTGTTGGGACGAGGTTGGCGAGGCCAAGCTCGAAGGGATTGAACTTGTTGAAATCACCAAAGCTAAGGTGAAAGTCATTCAGGATAGACTCAAGGCTGCCCAAGATCGGCAGAAGAGTTATGCCGACAAACGACGCAGGCCATTGGAGTTCGAGGTCGGTGATAAGGTCTTCCTAAGGATTTCTCCTTGGAAGGGTATCATCCGATTTATATCGAGGGGAAAACTCAACCCCCGATATATTGGTCCGTTCGAAATCCTTGAAAGGATTGGGGCCGTGGCATACCGTCTCAAGTTGACGCCAGAACTTGAGAAGATACACGACGTGTTTCATATATCGATGCTCAAGAAATACGTGAGAGATCCATCTCATATTCTTGAGAAGCCACCGGTGGAGATACGTGAAGACCTACAATATGCGGTGGAACCGGTAAAGATTGTGGGTCAACAGGTGAAGAAACTGAGGAACAAGGAGATTCCTATGGTGAAGGTTCTTTGGAGGAGTGATCGAGTCGAAGAAGAAACTTGGGAGACTGAGGTCTCAATGAGGGAGCAATACCCGTTTCTTTTCGATTAGACACGTGGATTTCGGGGACGAAATCCCAATTAAGGGGGGGTGAACTTGTAACACCGTCCCCAAAAAGTATTTACTTTTAAGTAAAAAAAAAAAATGTATTGAACTTATGGAATGGTTAACGAGTATTCGAAGTTGTGAATCTTTATTAATGTTTTTGCGTGAATAGCAAATTCGCCCGTGGGGCCCGCACCGGGAACGGGGGCCGCCCGATATTCCCGAGACCGTATATTTTATTCATCTTGGTCAATATAACATTTATATGGTGGTGGATAATTTATTTGGTCCAAAGAAATAATATAGAGTTGACCGGTTGATCAAAAAAGGCCAAAATACCGGTATCGGTAATTTAACAGATAACAGCCCGAAACGAATTTCGGAGGCTTATAAATTAAAGTTGGGGAATGTATATTCATTATAAAGGGTATAATGATTAAGAACACACAAAATATTTTATTTGAACCGATAAAATAAAATATATTTAAAACAGTCCGAAAAATACAACTTTCGGGACTGATTGTACACTTGTGGGCAAAAGGGGTTGACCTCCCACATGGGTGGGGGCCAACCCACGAATGTGGACACATTTTTTTCAAGACTTGGGCGGCTGGATGGAGAGGGGAGGGATGGGAGATGTTGGAGTTGAGAGGAAAGGCATCAAAGGTACACATGGGCTCCCATTTCTTTTTGTTTTGTTCACTCATTTGATCAAGACAAAGAAAATCCTCACCCACTCTCTCCCTCATCCCTGCGGCCAGCACCTCCAAGAAAGAGCCAAGCAAATTCTCCATCTTCCTTCTCCATTGTTGGAGAAAGCTCCACAAGAAAGAATCCCAAGGGAAGGAATTAAAGTGCTAAAAGTGTGATAGGATTAAGGTAATGACCTTATCATAACTTTTTCTTAATTTTTCTTCTACCATATGAGATGTATATCATATGGGGAACCCTTGAGGTTGTTCCACATGCCAATAGGGTGGAATAATGGGTTGGGGAGTAATTCTAAGTCCAAGAACGGACTTAAAAGCCAAACCGACGGGTTCACCGGAAAATAACCTTTTAAGGGTTATGGGTTTTGATTAAGGTTTTATGATGTTAAAACCTTGTTAGGAACTTGGTATAGAGTATCTTTGAGCTTCGCCGGAGTTTCGCCGGAGTTGGTCAAAGTTGGCCGGAGTTGGTCAAAGTTCACCGGAATTAGTCCAAGTTCAACCGCGGAGCGTAGAACACGCTTAAGCTCACTTAAGGTGAGGATGACCGACTATATTGCTTATAATCTTTGGGTTAATTTCATAAGAGTTCCTAAATGAATACACAATGTGATTTGCATGAATTATTAATGGTTATTAATGTCTAAATGAAATTACTATTGATTATAAGTATAGTTTGCATAACATACAAATTTATTGAATAAATTGTGTATGTTTATATGTTATGAATATGATGGCATGATAGTAGTATCAACCATAAATTTCATTTATGATAAGTATGCTTTTTAATTCATGAGAAGAAGCCATGAAAGAATAAAAGTGATATTTTGATATTAAGGTCAAACTACATATTGAATGAAGAATTACATTGAAATGAGTAAATAACTAGTATGGAAATATTAGTTGGGATTGTAGATGAATAATGGATGAATGGATCCTAAGAAATTTAATTGTAAAGAATCGGTGATTATTGAGCTGGGCTCTAGACCGATGTAGATAACGGTGATTATTGAGCTGGGCTCTAGACCGTGATAGTTATCGGTGATTATTGAGCTGGGCTCTAGACCGATGTAGATAACGGTGATTATTGAGCTGGGCTCTAGACCGTAGTAGTTATCGGTGATTATTGAGCTGGGCTCTAGACCGATGTAGATGACGGTGATTATTGAGCTGGGCTCTAGACCGTAGTAGGTAACGGTGATTATTGAGCTGGGCTCTAGACCGTGGTAATAAATGATGAAATGACACTAAACGAACAAAGTTAATCATGAGATAATAACACCCTAAATTGAGGGTCTTGGAAATTGAAACATTGATTATACTTAGTATAGTTGTCATTGTACTTGTCAAATGCTTCCAAGTACTGACCTCCCCTTCACGGGGGAGGCCACCTCACAGTTTCAGGTAGGAGCTGAGCTTGCTACCAGTGCCCGTTGCTCCGGGCGAATTCAAGGAAGGAAGACGTGGTTCGTGCTTCCTCCGTTCCAGTTTTAAAAACATTTAAGTTAATGCTCATGGATATTACATTTTGAATAATCATTTGGGGGCTTGTATGCCCATGTTTGCCAAAGTGTGGCATGAACACTTTTATTAAATATTTCCGCTGCCTTGAATGAATGTTTTACATTATGCTTGTTTATGGATGTACTATGTGTGAATGATATCCCAGACGCCTTGTATAGTATGGATGTTGATACACTTGTAATTTCCGTATGTATGTTTACGTTTTTAGCTAGTTTTGGTTGTTTAGTATTTCGGAAATTACACACTTTTGGTGTAATAGTTTAGTTTGTTGAATTCTTGTAATTTGTTTAGATTAGGGTCATTCTGAGCTCAAACAGGTCTACCATCACTCAAAGGACAGTTGGTGAACCCCAAAAGTGGAAGGAAGGTGCAAAATCACAAGAAAAAAGGGAAATCCTGATTTTGGTCTATACTCGGTCGAGTATTACCTATACTCGATCGAGTATAAGGTTGAAACTTCAAATCGGATCGGATCCGAGGACAAAGGAACATGCCGGGAAGATTTTGGCCACGATTTAGTGTCTATACTCGATCGGGTAGACCGACATACCCGATCGAGTATGCCTTTGAGTTTAAACCCGAAATCGGTCGAGTATGGCTCGAATATCACTTTCTGCACATACTCGACCGAGTATGAACATATACTCGATCGAGTATACCTCGAATCTGGTATTTCTACACATACTCGATCGAGTATCTGTATATACTCGATCGAGTACCCGAGCCTGCACCTCAAAAAGCCTATAAATACACCTCCTTTCCTTCACTTTAGAGAACCAATTCATATACTCTCTTAAGCTCAGTTTAGAATAGTATTTCTTTATATTTTTCATCATGTTTAGTCTCCAAATGAGGAGCTAAACTCTTCCATCTTGGTTTTGCTACTTTGAAGCTTAATGAATTTGTAAGTTGTGAGTTATTCTCTTTAATCTTCTTCCTTGAATATTAATTCTTCCTTTAAATACTATTTCTATATCAATGTTGGGGAGTGTTACTAAGATGACAATTAGTTAACATCTTGACATTAGTTATAGTAATAATTATTTCTTCCTCTGCGTTAATATTGGGGAGTGTTACTAAGATGACAATTAGTTAACATCTTGATATTAACTATAGTAGGATTCATCTTCTTTAATATTCTTTCTTGAGTATTAATTAATTCCTATTCATATTTCATATTAATATTTTGAACATTACTTAAAGGATCAACTAGTTTTGTTTCATATATTAATTAATACTAGAATCGGTCGATTAATACGCTTGTTATTAATTCGGTCCTTTCATGGTAGTAAACTTGGATTATTAATGCATGCATCTCATGGTTAATAATCTAAGGGGAATTAATTATATTGATTAAACTAATAAACCGCTTGTGTTGAGGTTATCAATCTCAATCGTTTTTCATCTTAAGTTTATTGCTACTATCAAGTTAATATACGGCGCTTGTTCTATATTGACTCGATAGTAAGTTTTATTAATGAACGCTTCTCGTTATTAATAACTACCCTCGATGAACTGGATATACTCCTCGATTGAGTATTCGAGAGGAAGATAGTTAAAGATATAACCGGGATCGACGAACATTTCATTAAGTGGATAAAAGCAAAGCCAAGTCTTCTTCTCATTAATTAAACCACATAACTCGTTCATCTTCGTGTTTAATTTAATTAAATCACTCAACAATCAAAACCCCCCTTTACTTACTATTTATATAAAAAGAAAGTTATTCCTTTCCCTGTGGATACGAACTCTACTACGCTATACTACGTATAAGTGCTAGTATTGAATTTATTTTGAGTGCACTCACGACAAAGTGCAACGTCAAATTTGGCGCCGTTGCCGGGGAAAGGCAATTATTTTTCTTTTTATTTTATCTCATAAAAATAAAAAATAAAAACAACAAAAATTTAGAAAATAAAAATAAAAATAAAATCTTACTCTTCTATTTCTGAGCTTTCATGAGTATATGGATACCAAACTATCATCCCTAGAGAGTCAAATTTCCGACTTGACTTCTCTAATAAAGGAATTTATCTTAAGACCAAAAGCTCAAGATGCCAACACATGCAACATTTGCATGTCTCACAGACATCTTACGGATTTCTGCCCAAAGCTCCAAGATGAATACCTTAAAAGTGATGATGTTGGTTACAAAAGGGATGAACCTCACATGAGGTATGATCCGTTCTCCAACTCTAACATGTCTACGGAGGATATGGTCTGGGCTATTGCTACCAACATGACCACCATGCAAAACAACATGGTACAATTCCAAAATGAGACCAAGTCTAGCATTTTAAACTTGGAAACTCAAATGAGTCAAATAGCCGGAGCCGTGAGTAGGCTTGAAACAAGGGATTCAGAAAAACTTCCTTCTCAAATAGAATGTGATCCTAAACAGCAAACTTTTGCAATCACATTGACAAATGAAAAGGAGATACAAAAGGAGATCCAGAATCCAGAAGAAGTAGAAGAAGAAAAAGACACGGAGCTCCAACTGGTCAAAGAAGAGGATAAGCCGAGCTTCAAACTCAAACTTTTGTCATTGTCATCCTTTGAGGTATCTCCATCATCCCTGGACGCTTTAAGAGAAACTCATAAACTTGAAAAGGACAATGACATTTCTGAAATCTCCTTCAAAATTGAGGGATCGAAAAACTTTTCATTGACCATACTACATGATAATTTCTTCCCCTTCCTCCCACCACATAAATCAATGAAAATCTGGATATTTGATCCTGGAAAGATTTCCAAAGTGGAGAGTCGAGAAATTGAGCACTCCTATGGAGGTCCTAGGAGTGAAAATTTGAAGAAAATTAATTATCATGATCCAAGCTTGAACGATTGAACACAATGATGGCGTCGTGCCGCGACGTTAAATTAGGCGCTTCTTGGGAGGCAACCCAAGCAAGGTATGTTTTCTTTTCAGTTTATTTCAGTATGTGTGCGTGTGTAAAAAAAAAAAAAAGTGTATCTGGGGACATACCCGATCGCGTAATCTTCCATACTCGGTCGGGTATGGGTAAAAATAGGGAGAACCGAGTTCCATACTCGAGCGAAATGGTCAGTATTTTAAACATTGGAGGCATACTCGATCGAGTATCAGTAATACTCGGTCGAGTATGTCCAGAAAGGCAAATCCAAAAAGAGCCTGTCTCCAGCACTCGATCGAGTATGGACATATACTCGGTCGAGTATGTCTGGAAAATCAACCTACCAGACCCTGTCTTGAAGGCCCGATCGAGTATTAAGCCATATTCGATCGGGTATTACTGGAAAACTTCATACTCGAACCCCTGTGTTGAGTATCCGATCGGGTAAATCTGCAACTTAACCCCAAAACACTCCCCAAAACACTTCATCTTCTCCAGACACCCATACCAACCTCGACCCCTTCTCCCCAAAACTCCAATTTTCTACCTTCTCTCTACCATATCTCCATCATTTCCCCACCAAAACACCCACAACCCACCAAAAATCAAAATCACCCTACTCCACAAACAACAAAAGCCGAAATTGGGCACTAGGGACAGTGCTTGAACTAAGTGTGGGGGAGGAGACTCATCATGGGTATGTAATCTTATTTTCTACCTTTTACTACGCATGAACTTCTTTAAAAAAAAAACAAAAAAAAAATGAAGAAAAGAAATGCTAGTTAGGTTGAAAACCCAACAAAATGGGCAATCTAAGCAAAAAAAGGCTTGTGAAAAATGATGAGTGAGTTGGGAGAATGGAAAATGAAAAGAGATGCTAGGATGAAAACCTGAAAAGGCTCCTAGGCAAAATGAGAGATATGAGAGTAATATTTATTTTTGCATGCACTCATTTAATCTCTTTGGAGTAAAAGAGGAAGAAGAGAAGAAAAAGAAGAAAAAAAAAAGGGCAAGAAGATGGAGCATAGAAGATCATTAAACCCTAGAAAGAATGTTGTTGTAAAAACTCATTTTTCCCCTGGTGGTCTTAGTTTCCTTCTTTCTTGAACTTTTGGAAAACTCTTAAACCGGTTGGATGTTTCTGTTTTACTCGAGGTCGAGTAAAGAACTAAGTGTGGGGGAGTTGATACACTTGTAATTTCCGTATGTATGTTTACGTTTTTAGCTAGTTTTGGTTGTTTAGTATTTCGGAAATTACACACTTTTGGTGTAATAGTTTAGTTTGTTGAATTCTTGTAATTTGTTTAGATTAGGGTCATTCTGAGCTCAAACAGGTCTACCATCACTCAAAGGACAGTTGGTGAACCCCAAAAGTGGAAGGAAGGTGCAAAATCACAAGAAAAAAGGGAAATCCTGATTTTGGTCTATACTCGGTCGAGTATTACCTATACTCGATCGAGTATAAGGTTGAAACTTCAAATCGGATCGGATCCGAGGACAAAGGAACATGCCGGGAAGATTTTGGCCACGATTTAGTGTCTATACTCGATCGGGTAGACCGACATACCCGATCGAGTATGCCTTTGAGTTTAAACCCGAAATCGGTCGAGTATGGCTCGAATATCACTTTCTGCACATACTCGACCGAGTATGAACATATACTCGATCGAGTATACCTCGAATCTGGTATTTCTACACATACTCGATCGAGTATCTGTATATACTCGATCGAGTACCCGAGCCTGCACCTCAAAAAGCCTATAAATACACCTCCTTTCCTTCACTTTAGAGAACCAATTCATATACTCTCTTAAGCTCAGTTTAGAATAGTATTTCTTTATATTTTTCATCATGTTTAGTCTCCAAATGAGGAGCTAAACTCTTCCATCTTGGTTTTGCTACTTTGAAGCTTAATGAATTTGTAAGTTGTGAGTTATTCTCTTTAATCTTCTTCCTTGAATATTAATTCTTCCTTTAAATACTATTTCTATATCAATGTTGGGGAGTGTTACTAAGATGACAATTAGTTAACATCTTGACATTAGTTATAGTAATAATTATTTCTTCCTCTGCGTTAATATTGGGGAGTGTTACTAAGATGACAATTAGTTAACATCTTGATATTAACTATAGTAGGATTCATCTTCTTTAATATTCTTTCTTGAGTATTAATTAATTCCTATTCATATTTCATATTAATATTTTGAACATTACTTAAAGGATCAACTAGTTTTGTTTCATATATTAATTAATACTAGAATCGGTCGATTAATACGCTTGTTATTAATTCGGTCCTTTCATGGTAGTAAACTTGGATTATTAATGCATGCATCTCATGGTTAATAATCTAAGGGGAATTAATTATATTGATTAAACTAATAAACCGCTTGTGTTGAGGTTATCAATCTCAATCGTTTTTCATCTTAAGTTTATTGCTACTATCAAGTTAATATACGGCGCTTGTTCTATATTGACTCGATAGTAAGTTTTATTAATGAACGCTTCTCGTTATTAATAACTACCCTCGATGAACTGGATATACTCCTCGATTGAGTATTCGAGAGGAAGATAGTTAAAGATATAACCGGGATCGACGAACATTTCATTAAGTGGATAAAAGCAAAGCCAAGTCTTCTTCTCATTAATTAAACCACATAACTCGTTCATCTTCGTGTTTAATTTAATTAAATCACTCAACAATCAAAACCCCCCTTTACTTACTATTTATATAAAAAGAAAGTTATTCCTTTCCCTGTGGATACGAACTCTACTACGCTATACTACGTATAAGTGCTAGTATTGAATTTATTTTGAGTGCACTCACGACAAAGTGCAACGTCAGATGTGTTGAACTGTGGTTGACTATTCGTACTGTACGGCGGATTGTTGACGTGTCCGGATAGGTCCGGGGCGTGACATATATTGATAAAGAAATAAAGGGAACAGTTCCAGCCGCCGACTCTTGGACCAGCCTGAGAACCAATCACCCTAGTTAGAGCAATGTGATTCGTTAATCCTATAGTGGGTCTAAATGAGTCTATCGTGGCCAAAGCAAAAAATCCCATCACCCGACCCTAAAGTGAAAGTCTTACAAACCAAATTAGCAACAACAGAAACAAAACAGTAAGGGGAAAACATGTCATTGTGTTGGAAGCATGTCACTTATACCGTGTGAAGGTCATAATTGAATTTGGAGAGTTGTTAACAAGTTCAAGGAAAATACATATCTTCGGTAATGTTCTTGCATGTGCAAAGTCTATTTGAATACATTATATATTTCATATTCACAGTGCATGGTTGTTGTTGTAATTCATTTTTTCTAAACACTATTACGCTAAGTGCATGTTTGTTGTTGTAATTCATTTTTGCTAAACACCATTACGCTAATTTCTTTACGATATGAACACAATTGAGTTCCAACAAAGACGACTATCCCTACTCATTTTTCCATCTACCCAAAAAGTATCCAATTGCTGATGAAAGGTTTTTCTTTCATTTTCCCAATGAGTAATCAATGTTCTTTAGTGACAATAATAACCTTGATTCGGTGTTAGCATTTTTTTAAGGAATCAATGTTTACTTCTCAAATGTAAGCAGCCAAAAGATATCCCGAATCAAAAGATTTGACCTACGTAAACTTTGTTTCACGGTTTTGTATGTAGCTAGCAAGAGGTGTTGGAAACCACAAACGAAGGTTTACACTATTGGTAGCTAGGATCATTTAATTTGGGTACGGTACCTCCAACCACAAATGAATTGTTCTATTTAAGAATGATCCTCCTTATGAAAAAAGAGCTATGTTATTATGAGGTATTAGGACGGTTGCCTACATACATTCTATTTTGTGAAGAGGTTGCTTGCGGATGAAAAAAATATTGTAGCTTCAAAAAAATTAAGGACTAATGGTCAGGGCATTATTTGAAAAAATTGTTTGTCACACTACTGATCTTATCATGTCCCGTGAGCAGACATGATCATATATGACAATAAACTTGAAACTGTTTGGGAAATGAAATTTTGTATCCAAGGTTGTCTAACATCCCCCGTTGTACAAACTATTTCAAATAATAAATTTGGTAAATAAAAAAGTTGGTATTTATGACTTTTACCCTCCCAAGAAAGTGATGAAATTCATATAAAAAAAATGATCACCCAAAATTTCACTCACCTAATATTTGAATTCAAGTGGGAACAAAAAGTATACATGCATGCTTATTTTTGTAGATCCTTTTTTACTACGATTAAAGTTTCAGTATTGATGTAATTCAAAAAAGCAAAAAATATAAATGAATAACAAAACATTAAATTAGTTATTCATTATTACCAAAATTTAACTTTATTTCCATACCGATTACCCCAAGAACTTTGTTTGCACTGATCATTTCTTACCCAATTATACCTATTTTCATAATTTTAATTGCACATATATTTTATTTCCTATTTATTTGCACCACTCTCCCGAATCCAACTATTTTACAATAAAATGTAATGATAATTACACACACAAATATATTTTTTAATTACTAATTCGGTTGTTTTATTACATTTCTAAATTTACAACTTATTGATCAAAAGTTGTATCAGGTGAAGGAAGACAATTTTATAAACGGAAATTGTCCTAAATAGGACTAAAAAGTTCCTAAAAAGCACAAATAGGACTACTATTTTTAAAATTCCCTAAATAGGACTAAACATTGATTTTCTACCCTAAATACCCCTAAGAGTATTAATTCATAATGAAATGCTTTAATTCATAATAAAATCAGAAAAAACGTAAAAAAATATTTAAAAAACGTAAAAAAAATTAAAAAAAAAATTATAAAACATTTATAAAATAAAAAATTTAATTTTTTATTTTTTTAATTTTTTTAAAAAAATAATAAAAAATAGTAAAAACCCATAAAAAATGAAAAAAATTATGGATACCTTTCTCACCGCCTCCCGCCGCCTCCCAGCACCACCACCTCCGATTGGTGAAATTTCTTCCACTTTTGGTAAAAAAATGCCATATTTTTCTGAAAATGCCAAAAAGATGGCATAATTACTCTTCAATATGCCAACATTTTCATTGATTATGCCATCATTATGGCATTATTTAAAATGTTGGCATATTTTTGTCCGGTGATGGGAGATGGTGGTGTTGGGGGTGGCAGGGGTGGTAATGTGTTTTTTTTAATTTTATGATTTATTTATTTATTTATTTTTTTTTTAAAAAAATATTTTTTATTTTTTTTAAAAAAATATTTTTATTAATTTTCTATTATTTGTTTTCCGATTTTTAGTATTTTTTTCGATTTTTATTAATTTTTTATGATTTTATTATTAATTAAAACATTTCACAAGTTACAAGGGTATATTTGTCCAAACACACATAAATAGTCCTATTAAGGGAATTTAAAAAATGTAGTCCTATTTGTGCAATTTTTCCACTTTTTAGTCCTATTTAGGGAATTCACTCTTTTATAAATATAGTGCTTAACGTATTTATTACTTTCACACCAAAGTCTAAATCAAATTTATATTTGAATGAAGTTCACTAACCTTTTGAAATTGCAAGAAAAGAAAATAATATATTGGGATATTGTAGACAAATCGGATAAAGTTGAAGTGAAAACATTTGAAGCGTTGACACTGGAGTTTCTAAGAACTCTAAGAACAACATGTCTTCTGAATCACAAGATAAGACCTAAAGTTGAGATTCCAATGATATTGTCAAGAAATTAGACCTGTTGGAAGGACTATATATATATCTATATATAATGGAACTGAATTGATTGTTATAAGACTTGACAATCATGTTATCAAAACCAGAATCACGACTTAAAACAACATTGGAGATGAGATTTTCATTCATCTCATGTGCATGCCCCTTCTCAATATAATTGTCATGGTCTTTTAAATATTGGCTAAATGGTCAAATAGGTACATGAACTAACTTAAAGTGTTCAATTAGCCCCTTATATAGGAGGTTCTGCCCGACCGTCGTCAATTGGGGCGGTTCCCGGTGGAATTTTTTGATGAATTTTTTTGAGCATCTTCTTCATTAAGTCTAGTTTACCCATATCAAATTTCAGCTAAAAATTAAATCGGGAAGGCAGTCAAATGATTTTCCGAAATGTACTGCACCGTTTAACTGCGCAGTTATCTTCAAAAAATCATTTGACTGTCTTCCCGGTTGAATTTTTAGCTGAAATTTGGTATGGGTAAACTAGACTAAATGAAGAAGATGCTCAAAAAATGTCATCGAAAAATTCCATTGGGAACCGCCCCAATTGGCGACGGCCGGGCAGAACCTCCTATATAAGGGGCTAATTGAACACTTTAAGTTAGTTCATGTACCTATTTGACCCTTTAGCCTTAAATTATTTGACAAGACAAATTCTTATAGTTGTCTTCTTTGTTGTGACAATGAACAATTTACTAGGCAGTGATCGTAGAAAGTTCAGATCAAACATGGATTGAAGATTTACATGATAAGGATGAGAAATCATTAGAAATTACTACAAATGTTGTATTATTGGGGTGTTTGTATCTGCTTTTTAAAAATGCTTCTGCTCTTGCAGCTAACAGAAACAAATTCTGGAGTGTTTGGGTGGAAGAGGAAAAGTATCTTTGAGTGCTCAAAATTGCTCATAGAAGCAGTTTCTTTAGAAGTTGGAGGAGACCAACTTCTGAAAATCCGATTCTAAATCTACTTCTGCTTTCTGAATCAATCCAAACATTTAAAAGACTTTCCAAGACTTCTAACAAATAAGTTTAATATTTTATTATATGTTGGACCAATTTAACTAATACTCCGTAAGTAGCAAGTTCTTATTTAAATAATATTCATTACTTTTAATATTTATTGTATTCACTTAATCTTTATGAGACTCACTTATCGTAATCACTTTTTTAAAATAATATTTAATTTTAAAATTAATTTAATCATGAACATTGAATCATTAATAAGTAGCTAATTGTAATGAGCGCTGTCAATTAATTTTCCCTAATATATATTTAATATTTATTATATGAGCTTATACTCTATGATACTAATTTATTGTACTCATATTTTTTTTGGAAGAACTGTACTCCTATTTGAAAAATGTAAAATATTAAAAAGTTATTTTATTTTAATATTTAATTGGATCATGCCTGAAAATATATGCTTCAATTCTTAAGGAAGAAAACTGGTCATTTTTTGTTTCAAAGTCGGGAAGATCCAAAATAAGTAATATTTTTGTCCTTTTTGCATTTAAATTTCTAATTTTATGTATCAAATTAAAACATTTGTCATTGATAAAGAATTGGAGAAAGTATAGGTATTATTTGATTTGCAAACATACGTCGTTGGGTACTTGGATATTTGGATTCACTTCCATCATAGCCATTTTATACTTTGCTCTCCTTTCTGTTTTTTTTTTTAAATTTGGTTGAATAATCTAACAAGAAAAGAGACAAGAACCATTTGTGGCACTAATGCATGCATGATCAGCATGGGGAACTCCATGGGTTCAACTCCTCCGCCTCCTCTCCATTGTTCTTCTTCACCTTCTTGGCATTTCATCAAATACCTTGCTGCTGGATCTTCTTCACCCTCTGAATATCACACAAGACCAACATGTACGCAGATCTTTCTTGCCTCCTCCATGGGATTAATCTTAGCAGCTGTTATTCATTTCCGTGTCAAGGAAATCAGGGACCTGAAAATCGTTCCAAGAATTAAACTCTCTGATTCCGGCCAAATTCTCAAGCATGAAAGGTTTCCTCATTATGTAGGTAATGTTTAATATCAATCTGAATCAACATCTTAGCTGAATCCATTTTCTTATTTTACTTTTATTATATGTCTATTTAGTGCGTAGAATACATATGAAAGTCTGCTTTTTTGCATGCACTTATAGAGTTATTAACTTGTTTTAAGACAATTAATTAATTAATTAGCATTAATGTAATGATAATGTCTATTGTTTTTGTAATTAATTAGCTTGTAATGTCTGTTTCTAAATAGTTGTGTGGGTTTGAAATATATGTTATGTGGAATTCTGGCAGCTAGGCAAATGGGATTTGCAGATAAGAGAGAATGTCCAACCTTGTGCAAATTAGCTTCTGAATATATAAGAAAAGCAGAAGGGTGTGAAGAGGACATATATAATTTCTTTGCGACTGAACCGGGTGCGGATTCTCTATTCATAAAGCTTGTGGAAGAGCTTGAAAGATTAATCCTTAGTTATTTTGCTTTTCATTGGAGCCAAGCTTCTAATATGATCAGCCAGGTACTGGATGTGACCCCTAGTTGTGAAAACTTGATCAAAGCTGTTAATTCATCTCACATACGCTGTATATAAAGATACAAGTTCACTGTTCACGTACAAGATTTCTGGCTCTTCTTCCTATGAGTTAATAGAGTTTCAGTGTCTATTTTGATCAAACAACAAGCAACTAAGACTAAAAAAGAGCACGTGTTTCAAGATCGATCTTTCACAACGAGTCACAATCTTGGACATATTCATCTCCACTGACCAAATATAAAATTCAAACCGACTTACCCAACTCGTAATAAAAACATTTTAATATGTGAGTTGGTTTTTTTTGTAGTGAAATATAATCACCCCAACACTGTGTCTTACCTTATTTCCAGGTTTTAAATGCTGCTGATCATACTGAGCCAAAGAAGAAGCTCAAGAACATTGTAATGGCAGCTACTAGGTATGTGTGTGTTTCTATTTCTATATTGTTCTATTGCTTATCGTATTTTAAATTAAGAGTAGCTATTGCTTATGAGTTACTATGATATTAAAGAACATTACTCTCATAGTATCATCACTGCTACCCTATGTAGCACGAAAACTCTTTGGAAAGAGCACGTTTCCGTTTCGGAAACTCTCCAAAACAGCATTTCCGTTTCAGTGGGGGTAATTATAAAGTAAACCCCAATTTAAATGGCTGGATGTTATTTTAATATTATAACATGAGATATCATTTTTATGGAAATATTTAAAGAGAGCAGAGATTTGAAAGGGTGACTAAGAATCTGAAGGTTGCAAGAGTGTTTACAACCTTAGTGGAGGAGATGAAAGCCATAGGACTTGTTGGTGCCGATGAATCTCAATGCACAGATGTGATGGTTCCCATGGCTCACAAAGATAGGAGCCCAGTCCTTCTCTTCATGGGTGGTGGCATGGGAGCTGGGAAAAGCACTGTGCTCAAGGACATTCTAAAAGAGTAAGACCGCCTTTCTTTCAATGGAAAATCATACTACCACGGTCTAAAAGAGAGTAACATTTGTATTACTAGGAATAGAAACAAACATAACTCTTTTTATAGTTATTAACTAATTCTTCTTCTTTTTGGTATTATTATTAGTTATTCTCAGAAATCATTATGTATTTTGTTTACAACTTATAAATATTATCATGCCTAATTTTTTGTGACTTCCTTAATGCATAGTGACCATATTTGACCAATGCAGAGAGTTGTGATGACTGAGCAATGAACATTTAGTTACAAATTTGTATTTGAGTATCATTCTAGTAATATTTTGGAAACCCCCCTTAATATAAACCAGTTACAACTTACAACCAAAAAATCATCGTGTGTAATATACTTGATCAACAATTTGAGGTGCTTGTGTGTTGGTTGTAGACCATTCTGGGTTGGAGCAGGTGGCAATGCAGTTATAATAGAGGCAGATGCCTTTAAAGAGTCAGACGTTATCTACAAAGCCCTGAGCTCAAGGGGTCATCATGACATGCTTCAAACATCAGAATTGGTATATATGTATCTCTCATTCAACCAATCTCCATCCTCCCCAACAGTTACACAAAAAGAAAAGAGAAAGCAGAACACTCTCATGTTAACATATACTACGTAGTTTATATGGTCTATTATTATGATTCATTAGTTTAAATAATCTAAAATTTGACTAAGTATTCTTGTTCTCGCCAAAAAAGATTTTCCCACTTTAACTTTTAGACATTGTGCCAATGACACTTTTGGTACCAATTTCTTAACTTTTTCACTTTTTGTCCGTTTTGTACCCGTCGTTGAAACTATCCAGTTTTAATACTCTGATTCTTTTGGTACTTGTCGTTGAATTTTATCATAAAAGTCTCATAGTTATAATAGACGGAGGACCAAAAGTGTGAGGATTTAGAGTAGAACTCTTTCGCCAAACATGTAAAAATGGATTATTTAATCTCATCAAATTAGCTTCAACAAATGAGCACTTTTTTTCTAAAGAACCTTTTGCATAATGCGAGCAGCTCTCTGTTTTGGCAGGTACATCAATCATCTACAGATGCAGCATCATCTCTGCTTGTGACCGCGCTGAATGAAGGAAGGGATGTGATCATGGATGGCACACTTTCTTGGATACCATTTGTGGTGCAGACAATAACGATGGCTAGAAATGTTCATCGGTGCCGTTATAGGATGGGCACTGGCTACAGAGTGGAAGATGATGGAACTGTGACTGAGAACTACTGGGAAAGGATTGACGGGGAACCTTACCCTGTTGATGGGGTTAAAAAGAGAAGAGCTTATAGAATAGAGTTGGTTGGAGTTGTTTGTGATGCTTATTTAGCTGTCATTAGAGGAATAAGGTATTTAAAATAAGCTTTCTTATATAATGCCCGTCCCTAAAAAAGGTTCCCCTTTCCTTTCTTCACTCCCAAAATAAACTTACAATTTTCCTTTTGACGATAGGTTGTGTAGCTCAATTAAACTTTAACCTCATGATTTCACTGTTCTTGACATGCGTGCATGTCAAGTCATACAGTGAGCTTTTTCCATGGACAAAGAAGTGCATCTTTATTCCAATTATCTTCACCTTTTGTGACCTTAAACCATATTTCCAGTTTACTGCCTCTTGATAGAGTGGAAGTTCCTTATGATCATTAGTGATTTTTTGTTGAAACCATGACATGCTAAGAAATTAAAATGTAACAAGATGGTAATTTTAAAATAAAATTGCCTTATCATAAGCACTAATTATAAACATGCATCAAATTTTCTTATCTGAATGACCAATAAGTTTTATGGCTTGATTCCAATAAATATTTGTTTCCCTTTGTGTGAATTTGAGCAGGAGAGCTATCATGTGTAGACGAGCAGTGAGAGTAAATTCACAACTGAAGTCCCACAAGAGGTTTGCAAATGCATTCACAACATACTGCAACTTGGTGGATAACGCTAGATTGTATAGCACAAATACTCTTGAAGGCCCTCCCAAAGTACACATTCTTGTACTCTCCATCTTTATTACAATATTTAGGCAGATGCATGTTTATATTTTAAGTTCTGCAAATTAGAGCATTAAACTTTATATGTTGCTTGAGTACTATTCCCTCCATCCCAAAATGTAAGATACATTTGGGTTTAACATGAGTTTTGAGAAAACTAATGATATAGTTGTGTTTTTAGAATTGGACCTCCAAAAAGTAAGAGAAGTATTACGCATCCTCAAAAGGCGAAATGATTGATTAAATAAGATATTGAAATAGAAAAAGAGTTCAATTTAGAGTGTGTTCATATTTTTGGTACAGATAAAAAAAGAAAGTTTACCTTACAAAATGGAAATAGAGGGTACAGTTTTTTAGGTGTATGAACATATTCTGATGCAAAAATGTTTAGATACGTACATACAAACATACTATATATTAAATGCTAACTTGAAGTATTATGGCATAAGTTGATAGGATGGAAGGACAGGGATAAAACACTATTGGTTGATCCAGATGAGATAAATGTGTTGAAAGTGGTGGGGAGGTTGAATGAGGATGCGGACTCCATATGTAACCTGTATAACCACCCTCACCCAGCTTACCAGAGAGGTTCCTTCTGGAAAGACATTGTGTTGTCACCTTCAAGATTGAACATTCAAAAGGAGCTCAAATACTTCATCACCAAAATTGAGCAGTTTTACTCTACGCATCAAGATTAGTATTGTATAACAGAGAATTGTTATTTTGATTCTTCAGTTGTTCCAGGTTGTGTAATATAGCTCTGATTGTCAGGTGCTCTCCCTCAACTATTTGAAAATAGTGATCCTTGGGGTCTCTCACATCCAAGTGCATCCTCACGCTCTAAAGTATCCTCTAAATAATTGAGGTTGTTGTTTCATGTTTGGCAGCATTAGATGAGGTACATATTTGGTCATTTTAAAAATAGAATAGGAATTGTATTGTACTAAACTGATGATGAGACTGTATTGTAGAAGCAGAAACACTTGAAGGATCCAAAGAACAATTTCCCTTGCTATAGTGATTGTATCTACTATGAGATGAACATTTTGAATAGATTTGTAGGGTTTTAGATACTTCTATAATTAATTCATTAATTCATTTATGTGTGTGTGTGAGAGAGTTTTGAAAATTCTATGACTGCAACATTGTTTGATGTCATTGTGAAACAATGCAGGTTAATTTAGGGGAGAGGCAATGTTAGAGAATGTTCATGTTAGAATCACTCATATAGTCACTTCACATATCAATAATTCATATATAGGCCAGAGCCTAGTTAGTTAAATACGGTACGAGAATTAAACGAGATTTAATACGTACGCGTTTTATTCGGTAACATTAATGAAAAAACGGTCAAAATCCGCTGAAAAAAACGTTGACTTTTAATAAACGTGTAAATACGCATACGTGTATAGTACGGTATCTGTTGCAAAAATTCGGGTAAAAAATACGGGGTATTATTTCGTAAATTTAAATTTTATACTTCACAAAATCACATATATAGTAAAAAGAAATAAAAGTATACACATATTCAAGTAGCAAATCTCATTACTACATCAAAGAATAATCCGTAATTACATAAGTTGATGACAAAAGTAAAAAATATAACAGTAATCAAGTCCATGACATAATTTTGTTAACTAATGTCAACTAATAAGACATAATAACAATAGAATGAGACTAAGTTAAAATCATTATCTTTATATGATCGTCAAATAACACTCAGTTTAAATCATCATTTTCATCAAGATGACAGATGACATATGAGAAAAGTTGTGCGACTGCTACGCGCGATTATTATTGTTTATGTGTAAAAGTTTATACTAAAACACTGTCAGGTATAAAAAACTTTAATTGTGACATGCTTGTTTGGAAAAACATTAGAAATCTAGTAGTATTTTATGTTTTAGTTTTTAGGATGTTAGCTTTAGCCGCAATGCAATTACTTTTAGCATTTAATAATTGTATTTTAACTATACAAAAATATGGGGTCACGGGGATAAGTTTTTCTTTTTTGCTTTTAAGCTATTATTATTATTGATCTCCTATTCATTTAATGGGTTCATTCAATTGATCAATTCATGTTTCTATTTTTAGTAAAATACGGGAAAAATACGTTTTATACGGGAAGCAAAAGTTTTTTTCCTTTTTAAACGGACCGACATTATTTTTCGTTTTAAACGAGTTTTTTTGTTCAAAAAAACGATATGTGTTTAAAACGCGTTTAAAACGGGAAAAAGCTAACTAGGGGCCAGAGTTTTGCAACAAGCCTTCTCTGAAATGGTATAAATTTCTCCATTTTGTGCAGTCTCTTGGAGATGAGTTCTGTAGCAGAAGGCCATTAAGAAGTGGAAATTGGGACCTTCTGAGGTGGCTTTCTCCCGGGATGGATTTAGGGGGGGGGCGCGGGGGGCGACCGCCCCCCTTGGACTTTCAAAATTTTCTACCATATATGTAATATTTTCATAAAACTTTCATAATTTAATTAGATTCGCCCACCTTAGCTTTTAATTTTCAAAAGTAATATATAGTGTTACATAATGTAATACTTAATTGAAGATTTAAAATAAGGAACATCTAAAATAATTACATAACTTAAACAAATAAACAATAGAATAACTCGTTCTTTAAGATTTAGGATACTTATTATATAAGAATTCCTAGTTTTGTAATGTTTAATTATTTTTATTAGATAACAAGTACTTGATTTTGTAAAATATATATCAAACAATATTAAATATCAGACACACTAATTACACAGTTTTTAGATCACGTGAAATGAATCCAAAATATAAATGTTTATTGACATTAAATTACATAATTCATTTACTTCTTGCTTTCTAAAAATAATTTATTGCATAGATAATAAACTTTAAATTATTATAGCATTAATACTAATATTAAAATATAATATGCACAATATATGTGTGTGTATGTGGTGCATACTATTCTAAAAATAATAATATCATACACACTACTATTGTAATATTAAGAAAACTTCTCATGAGTCATGACTCACGAACACCCTCCTTGGTGGCCGGACAAAAATCACAATTCAATAATAACTGATTCATGGGGTTAAACAATGTAGAAGTTATTAAAAATGTATTGGTTGATGTCTTTGTCATCGTCTAATTTAAACTTAGAATGTACAACTTAATAGATTTAAATGTCGTTGGGGGTGTGTATGTATTAATGTCATTTTTTGAATAAAATTAGCCGCATAGCCCTACAGTAGCGGAAAAAATTCGCCCCGCTACACTAGGGGAAAAAATTTCGCCCCACTACACTAACAATTTTTTTTTTCACCCCCTACACTACCGAAAAATTTCGCCCCCTTTGAATAGAAATCCTGGATCCGTCCCTGGCTTTCTACATTCACATAGTTGTAGTGTAGTTTAAGCCCATCTCCGAGGCGACTGGCAATGGCCATAAGGTTTTTCGCTGTTCAACACAGAAACCACAGCAGAAATATGAAACAAACATGATCTTTATTGCCTTGACCAATTTACTTCCTTCCACTTTGATGGGAGAGAGTTTAGCTGATAGGGAATGAGGGTATTTACAAGGACCCCTTAGTGCTTGATCTAAGACCATACGACTCTATTATGTAAAGCACTGCAATGTGTTTGTAATTTGTAAGACCAACAGATAGGGTTACTGTGTAGTAATGTAGTATACCTTGTGTACAAAAAGGGATCTAAATGGAATTGTATCATTGTTGTTTCATTTTGTTGTAGATCAACAAGCCCCCATTTCCCACAATTTGTCTGGAGTCTACCAGAGTAGTCCAGGTTTATGAGTAGCACAAGAACACATGAAGTGAAGATAATAAAAAAAAGCATGCAGGCTCTTGACTCAAAAACCACACTGCAATTTTAGATAAACTAATAATTATAGAGATATTACCCAAAATGGGACTAAAAAAGTTTGGAAATTCCAAAATGGGACTTCCATGTTTTTATTCCCAAAATAGGACTAATTACTGTCATGTTTTGGCAGTACCAGACTTCAAACATGGCAGTATTTTCCAAATTTGGCAGTAATTAGTCCTATTTTGGGAATAAAAACATGACAGTCCTATTTTGGAATTTTCAAACATTTTTAGTCCCATTTCGGGAACTTTCCCATAATTATATAAAGAGGAGAATTTTACATAGTTTATGCGGTTTAATTTCACTAATGGATTCAGAACAATCTAGTGAAGGGGAACCAAATATAATTAATTTAAAAACAAACACCTCAGTGCATAAAACAAAATGTATTAAGCCAGAGTCTAGCCCCCCATACAACAGAAACATTGACTTCAACATCACCAAACATAGCATGTACTTGCAGTTCGTGATCCCTTCAGCTTATCTTGATGAAATGCTGAGCACCCCCAGTATAAATAAGAAATTAGAGTAGTAAAGGCATTCTCCGGATGGAAGCAAACTCCAACCACAAGTAAATAGAGAAAGAGAGAGAATGGAAAATCACAAAATCTGAAGGAACCTCAGACAGATTTGTAGTGATTGATCATCAATTTAAACTGCTTCAGAAGAATTGACTAGCAAAAACCAATGTTCCATAAAGATGAGAAATTACATTCACATGGTTTGTCTCTTTCCAAATCATCTGATTGATCCGAACAAATGGATCAGTGACATCTGGCAGTAGGTTGAGCTTTGAAGCAAGGGAATTATGTCCGGCCAGTGACAACTCCTCAACTACAGAATTAATTGTACATTTCTGGATGACCTTTGAAAGACAAAACCATGTGCAAATGTGTCCCAGTCATGCTAGCTAGCTGCCCCCCACTAAACTCGCTTAGCCACTGGTTCTACCATCCAAAGGATCTATATAAACACATTTCCTCAGTGGTATTCACAACAAACTGAACTAAATTCTCCACAGAGACCTCACTTTCTTTACACAAGTATCCCTTCTAATTTCTAAATACATTTGAATATGGCAATCGGTATGGGACACATCCTCCGTGGCAAACAAGGCCTCAGAAGGTCTTGTTCAAGAACAAACAGAGAGAGTGAGGTTCCCAAGGGTCACTTTGCAGTTTATGTAGGCGAGAGCGAGAAAAAACGCTTTGTCATTCCGGTTTCATACTTGAAAGATAACTCATTCCAAGACTTGCTGAGTCAAGCTGAAGAAGAATTCGGGTATGATCATCCAACGGGTGGACTTACAATACCTTGTGCGGAGGACACCTTCATTGACATCATCTCTAATATGCGTAGATCATGATAGGTTACATGCCTACATGGAGCGTAGTTTGTAGAACCAATTTTGATTAGAAAAGTATACTTGTACATCGTGTTTGTTCCTGATTACACTGAGAAATATAATGTTAAGAATTTTATCAACGGCTTTGTCATAACTTATTACTTATCCTGCACCTATATGAAAAAAGGAAGTCTAATTATTCCAGATCTTTCAAAGTTTTTTATTCAGACAAGTTTAAGAGAGTTGCCAAATAATCTCATTGTCAATATAAGACAGCGGAACAAGGAACTGCATCTGATTAGTAGTACTCTAATATATAGAAAAAATACCCTTGAAGGCTCTTCAAGTAGTACTCTAACGGTCTAACCATTAAGGCATTAACTAGTCCAGTCTTGAAAATCTTTCTTCTGAGGACAGCCAATTTCCACCAGCCTTCAGCTAGCTTGATGAATGGAACGTTACTAGGCTCTACATATGCACAAAATCTGCTAATGTGCAGATTTTAATGGTGAAAATGCACAGGGAAGTGTCTATTAAGGGTTATGAGGTTAAGACCGTGTTTAAAGAATATGCCTCTCAGTGGTGTGTTTGGTTTTGCTTCAACCACGTTGCCCCAGTTCCATGGAGCGTTTCACCAAATCTTGTCCTACATAAATGAGGAAACGCATTCACATGGTTTTGTTTCCTCTTTTTTAACTGACTTATTCGTCTTCATCTCTCATTTGGTAGACTTTTCTTGAGTAGTTGAGCTTTCACAATTTGATTGAATCATGTGGGGAATGATGTCCGATACCTGCAAAGCAGTTGGTAGACATTATTTATGTTTTTTGGAAGAAGAAAGCATGTGGTGATGACAGGAGTGGTTGAGCTATCCTAATTTCATATCCTGCAAGCTGGATGCCGTTCCAAGCCAAACTTCTCTAACTTCCTAGAGGATCATATCTATATAAACACATTTCAGTTAATATTCTACCCACTCAACTCAAGGTTTTTTAGCTTCATACAAACAGAGCTTTTGCCTTCAATTAAAACTTCCTACAAAAATATGGCAATCAGTATGGGACACATCCTCCGCGGTAAACAAGGCATCAGAAGGTCCTCTTCAAGAACTAACAGAGAGAGTGAGGTTCCTAAGGGTCACTTTGCAGTTTATGTAGGCGAGCGCGAGAAAAAGCGCTTTGTAATTCCAGTTTCATACTTGAAAGACAGCTCATTCCAAGACTTGCTAAGTCAAGCTGAAGAAGAGTTCGGCTTTGATCATCCCATGGGTGGACTCACAATACCTTGTCCGGAGGATACCTTCATTGACATCATATCTAGTATGAGTAAATCTAGATAGACTTTGGACAACATCGTAGGTTAGATAGTTAGTCAGTAGAACAATTTTGGAAAGCGAATTATTCTTGTACAGAGTTCTGTCTTTTTTCCTCTTGATATTGGAACATACATTTATATTCATCAGCACTTTTAGTTCATTACTTATCGTGAACCCCTTGAAGTTGTAGAAATAGAAGTCTAACTATGTTGGCTCTATTCTTCCAAATTCAACGTGTTGACCGTGTTGCTCCTCCATTGACCTCATTGACCATCTAGCTCCGTAATTCACCTGCAAAATAATCACTAAAAAGAACTAACAATATATTAGTGGCTCGAGACGCGTCAGACGCTGTCCTAAGGAATTATTTCCGGCGTACGGAAATTTCCCCCAAGATATAACGAGCCCTTCGGTTATAAAGCCGGTACCAGAACTAACGAGAAGAAAATAATATATGAACCCAATAATCATGGTATGCTTTATCAAAAAGCTTGACACCCCTCAACATTCAAGTAAAATTTTGTTTTGTTGTATTCTAAGTGTCTACTTTCTTATATCCTGCTTCAGCTGCATTCAAGTATATGTTTATATACACACTTGCGACATTGAAGCTAAAACAGTTTTAGATGAATAATAATGATAAGAGTTACTAATCAAAATATTTATTTGCAAGTTAAATGCTAAACGTTAGGAAATGCAAGAGTTGAAACGCTCCAATGCTTATAGGCCGGCCAGCTCAAAAATAAGAATTGAATGTAGAAGATAAAGCAACATTTGAGGCATAATGAGAAAATCAATGTTAAAATTGGATCATTTGAGCTTTAAGAGATAATAATTCATTTGAAATATCTCAAAATTTCCAACAATCCCCCACTATTTCAAATGAATAATTTAAATTATTTAAAAATAGCAATTCCTTACTGGGTTCATATATGGGGTGAAGTTTTTCAATCTGGTGTCCGTAGACTTGAACCGGACCTAGACGCCTAAGTCTTTAAATACCGAGTTTATTGGTGAAACGTATAGTTTCTATGAACCAATAATCTACTTTGGTAAGTCAGTGTCTTAGGGGATCATTTTTCACCCCCACCTTTCTCGTCGTTAACGCTGTTGTGCGCCTCTAGGCCGTGCGCGTGCTTGGTTTTCTTGAGTGCTCTAAAAGCGTTGCCAATGCTTCATGGAGGCGGCCCCACTTCACACTCATATAGGTGATCTCATCAAGTGTGTCCCGCACTTAACACATCACCCGTAAGGGCTATGACAATCATTAAGAGCTTTAGCTCAACCTCACAAACAAATGCAGTCTAGCCTTCCACACCATAGAAATGAACATTTTACAAGGCTAGCAGAACAAATAGAAGACTTGTTATTACCCATTTGAACTTGCTTCATGGGATCTCCAATCACACAAGTTGGGTTCCCATCCCTATTTGTTGTCAAATTGACATTAGTCCATTTCCCTCAATGTTTAAATTTATCATTTAATCTCCTAGGGATTCTATCAAAGGAGTAGCTAATTCCTTTTAACTTAATGGAATAATTCCATTCTCAAACATCATTGCACCACTTTTAAGGGTGAATGGATATCCACTAATTTATCTATCTCATGTGAGTCGACTCATATTACGTCGTTGTATCCCGGCAATACAACGGATAACTCTCAACAAAATATACATCGATGTGACACTTTTGTACATCGGATAATTTGACTAATATGTTATATCCTAACGGATAATTCTCAATGAAATATATATCATCATTGTATCATTATAGTACAATGGATAATTCTCATATATAACATCGTTGTACCTTTCTAGTACAACGGATATTTCTCAATTAAAACATATCATCGTTGTATCAATATATTACAACGGATAATCTGAACCATAATTAATGATACCTCTCGAATATCTCAATAACTTAAGGTATCCCAACCATCACATTTGGATTTCATACATTGGCTCAATCTTCAATTCCATTATTTTAAAAACATGAAGTGTCACACACATTTAATTGTAACAAACTCACACTTTTTATTTATTTATCAAAGTCATAAGGGATATTCACATTTTGACATTGAAATGTCAAACTTCTTAAGAAGATTCTCAATATAATGATAGTGAAATACCAACATCCATCCTTGTGACTTTAATACTCAAAATTACTTTTATTATATTTATATATCAACTCAATATAGCTATTGAAATAAGCATATAAGAAATCCCAGCAAAAAATATTCACTAATGCACCACTTAATGTATACACATTTTTTTTTCAAAAAAAAAAAAACTTATCACATTAATCTCAAAGATATTATAGTTTAAAGTATTGCATACTAGCAGATTAATTCTTCAATTTAAGAAAACCGTGTATATGCTCCACCATTTCATCTTATGTAAAAGCATCCAAAAGTTGCAAAACTCATTTTTACTCAATGAGATAGGTAGTAAAAATTTAGCTAAGCGCCCCCACAATTTTAAGTATTCCAAACCAAGTGCATAACTCTTCTAAAATTCAATAATATCTATTTTATGAAGATAATTTCTAGCTCAACTTTTATTTGCACACCAAGATTTTACCATAGCTCACCTTTAAATTTAAAGAACATATTAAAATTTAGTGTATATAAAAAAATCATTATTATAATGTATATAACATCATCATACCATTATAGTATGAAGGATAACACTCAAATATAACATCGTCGTATCACTCTAGTAAAACGGATAATTCTCGATAAATTGTGTCATCGTTATACTCATTTAGTACAACGGAAAACTTGATAGAATATATATGACATCATTGTATCGTAATAATACAATGGATAATTCTCAATAAATTATTCCATCATTGTATTTCGTTAATACAATGGTTGTTTAGCTCACAAAATACATTTTTGTGTTTTTGAGTTCATCACAATCTTCCGACAATTTTGCCAGATCTCAGATAGTGTGTTAAGTTTAATAAATTCACACTTTGAGCATCAAGATAAATTTCTATAAAATGAACAATATCAAACTACAAAATTATCCTTAAATCCAACTCAATATATCTCCACGCTCAATTAATAATAAAATTGACGCATATTATTTGCATCCACAATTTTTGAATTTCACTACAAATCAATTAATACCCAGTATAATATACTACGCATATAAAAGCACACCACACACATGCACAACAATTATTGTATCTCAAATACCCCCACATTTTGAATATTTGAAAAAAAATTAGGCTCATAGACAATTCTCATATAAAAGAAATGGTCCATAACATTTTTTTTTGAGAAAAATTTAATACGCAGTAATTATAATAAATTTATAATGTTGGGAATACATGAAGTTCAATTCTAACTTTTAAACACCGGGCAAGCTTTTCATATGAATAGCTTTACACTTCGGTCATTTAGCTATTCACATTAACATTACATGACACTGCGTAAGAAGTAATATGCCACATGTTAAAAATATCAAGCAAATTGAAAAGTGTATAAATTCACTCAGTAATTTTAAAATATTTGGCACACATAATTCATGATTACAATAACTATGTCTCAAAATTTACTCATTATTTTCCATTAGTCAAAACCACATTTTTTTCAAAAGGGAAACATAAACTTAAATAAATCAAAACTCGAACACTTGGAATACGTTATTTAAAGATAATAGTTTTGCATTCACAAATGAATTTTGTAGCCTCAAAATCTACCAATTATTCATTCACACCCGTCTCTATCCAAATTAAAAATTAACCGCAATGATTATATAATCACCCGCAACAAAATTTATATTTATTTTGATGGAATTTTTTTTTTCATAATTTTCATTATATAAAAAAATGATGTTTATACTAAAGGTTGTTTGTAACGAGAATAGTGATAAACGCATACCACAAACTTGATCATTTAGCAGGAGCTAGAATTTTCACCGCTTGTCTCAAAGAGAATTTCGGGCACGTTGACAATTCCATAGGTGTAATCTTTATTCGGAAATAATTCCTTAGATTGTTGGCTCTATTCTTCCAAATTCAACGTGTTGACCGTGTTGCTCCTCCATTGACCTCATTGACCATCTAGCTCCGTAATTCACCTGCAAAATAATCACTAAAAAGAACTAACAATATATTAGTGGCTCGAGACGCGTCAGACGCTGTCCTAAGGAATTATTTCCGGCGTACGGAAATTTCCCCCAAGATATAACGAGCCCTTCGGTTATAAAGCCGGTACCAGAACTAACGAGAAGAAAATAATATATGAACCCAATAATCATGGTATGCTTTATCAAAAAGCTTGACACCCCTCAACATTCAAGTAAAATTTTGTTTTGTTGTATTCTAAGTGTCTACTTTCTTATATCCTGCTTCAGCTGCATTCAAGTATATGTTTATATACACACTTGCGACATTGAAGCTAAAACAGTTTTAGATGAATAATAATGATAAGAGTTACTAATCAAAATATTTATTTGCAAGTTAAATGCTAAACGTTAGGAAATGCAAGAGTTGAAACGCTCCAATGCTTATAGGCCGGCCAGCTCAAAAATAAGAATTGAATGTAGAAGATAAAGCAACATTTGAGGCATAATGAGAAAATCAATGTTAAAATTGGATCATTTGAGCTTTAAGAGATAATAATTCATTTGAAATATCTCAAAATTTCCAACAAACTATTCAATATATCTCCAAAGATAAGGAAACTAAGATTCAGCAGCAGTAAAATAAAAGCATTTATATATCCTGTATATCTCCTTTCTGAGATATTAAAACTATACTGCAATTTTAAACTACCTGAAATGAAGACATGAAGAGTTTTGTGGAATTTCACGGAAGAATCTTCAATTTATTACTATCCTTGTTCATGCATATTTATCAGCGACAAGTGCTTAAGCATTTATATATGCTCTATACATACAGGGACGGATCCAGGATTTCTAGTCAAGGGGGCGAAAATTTTCGGTAGTGTAGGGGGTGAAAAAAATTTCGTCAGTGTAGTGGGGCGAAATTTCCCCCCTAGTGTAGCGGGGCGAATTTTTTCTGCTACTGTAGGGCTATGCGGCTAATTTTATTCAAAAAATGACATTAATACATACACATCCACAACGACGTTTAAATCTATTAAGTTTAAATTAGACAATGACAAAGACATCAACCAATACATTTTTAATAACTTCTACATTGTTTAAC